AAACAATGGTCAAAGTCACAAAACAATGGTCAAAGTCATAAAACAATGGTCAAAGTCACAAAACAATGGTCAAAGTCATAAAACAATGGTCAAAGTCACAAAAATCAATGGTCAAAGTCACAAAACAATGGTCAAAGTCACAAAACAATGGTCAAAGTCACAAAGCAATGGTCAAAGTCACAAAACAATGGTCAAAGTCACAAAGCAATGGTCAAAGTAACAAAACAATGGTCAAAGTCACAAAACAATGGTTAAAGTAACAAAACAATGGTCAAAGTCACAAAACAATGGTCAAAGTCACAAAGCAATGGTCAAAGTCACAAAGCAATGGTCAAAGTCACAAAACAATGGTCAAAGTCACAAAACAATGGTCAAAGTCACAAAACAATGGTCAAAGTCACAAAACAATGGTCAAAGTCACAAAACAATGGTCAAAGTCACAAAACAATGGTCAAAGTCACAAAACAATGGTCAAAGTGGTCACAAAACAATGGTCAAAGTCACAAAACAATGGTCAAAGTCACAAAACAATGGTTAAAGTCACAAAGCAATGGTCAAAGTCACAAAACAATGGTCAAAGTCACAAAACAATGGTCAAAGTCACAAAACAATGGTCAAAGTCACAAAGCAATGGTTAAAGTACAAAAAACAATGGTTGAAGTCACAAAACAATGGTTAAAGTCACAAAACAATGGTCAAAGTCACAAAACAATGGTCAAAGTCACAAAGCAATGGTCAAAGTCACAAAGCAATGGTCAAAGTCACAAAACAATGGTCAAAGTCACAAAACAATGGTTAAAGTCACAAAGCAATGGTTAAAGTCACAAAACAATGGTTAAAGTCATAAAACAATGGTCAAAGTCACAAAACAATGGTCAAAGTAACAAAACAATGGTCAAAGTCACAAAACAATGGTCAAAGTCACAAAACAATGGTCAAAGTCACAAAGCAATGGTAAGCAATGGTCAAAGTCACAAAGCAATGGTCAAAGTCACAAAACAATGGTCAAAGTCACAAAACAATGGTCAAAGTCACAAAGCAATGGTCAAAGTCACAAAACAATGGTCAAAGTAACAAAACAATGGTCAAAGTCACAAAACAATGGTCAAAGTCACAAAACAATGGTCAAAGTCACAAAGCAATGGTCAAAGTCACAAAACAATGGTCAAAGTCACAAAACAATGGTTAAAGTCACAAAACAATGGTCAAAGTCACAAAACAATGGTTAAAGTCACAAAACAATGGTCAAAGTCATGAATCAATGGTTAAAGTCATAAAACAATGGTCAAAGTCATAAAACAATGGTTAAAGTCACAAAACAATGGTCAAAGTCACAAAACAATGGTCCAAATAGAATTCAAATTTTGCTGTGAGTTATCTTTTTGACTGATTGTACGGATCACAGATGGCGTCTCTCCATGGCAACCCAGCCGGGCAACCAATCGGATTGCAGGAGATCTAGAAAAAGTGAAATTTACAGTATGGAAAATTAACCGGACAAATAACATTACACATCAATTCACACATCATTTTAAGCGAGTTTAACCTGTTCACTCACTCGAACGAATCATGACAGCATGAAATCTCGTAGACGTCATGTCAGTTAGGGCGGGTTAAGAGTGACTATTACAGATATTCTACAACCCTCAGTTAGATCCGATTGTCAAGCACACAAGTACAGTGAGGAATAAGAAAAAATATCTACGTCATTTATTGCGTGTCACATTTTCGACAAACAAACAAGTTCGCTGAGTGCTGACAGAATGGCGTGACTGAGAAACATATCTGTATGCTGTGACTGACACAAAAATAACATTGTAATATACTTACCTGTAGAATATTACAAATTGTGATTGACACACAAAACTACAACATATGGCTAACAAACAAATCTAAATGTTTTGACTGACACACAAAACTACAATATATGGCTGACAAACAAACCTACAAATCTGTGACTGACATACAAAACTACAATATATGGCTGACAAACAAACCTACAAATCTGTGACTGACATACAAAACTACAATATATGGCTGACAAACAAACCTACAAATCTGTGACTGACATACAAAACTACAATATATGGCTGACAAACAAACCTACAAATCTGTTACTGACATACAAATCTACAATATATGGCTGACAAGCAAACCTACAAATCTGTGACTGACATACAAATCTACAATATATGGCTGACAAGCAAACCTACAAATCTGTTACTGACATACAAAGCTGCAGTGTATGGCTGTCAAAAAAGCTACATGCTGTGTCAGCCACGCAAAACTTAAACATATGACTGACAAACAAATCTACATGTTTTGGCTGACACACTTGCGCATTAATTCCCGTCTTTATCATCGTAACAAAATATGACGGTGACGTGCACTTTTGCCTGGGAGAGACACAAGAAAGGCGGTCTACGCAAGTATGTATTGATCTACTGTAACATCGTCGCTATGGTGTGGTAACCTCGAAAACTCTGGAATTTAAACCCCACGAAAATGTAGTATTCTACAGATTCTATCATATCTCCGCTAATTTTTTTTTTTTACTCTAAATCGTATTTTTATCTGAATTCTGTAATATTCTGTACAAAATCAATGAGATAAACAAAAGAACGTAATAATTTGCAGTTTATTATGCTACATGTGTGATATCGATTCTTATCAGTAACTTCAAATTTGAAAGACAAGAGTACCTGGTCAAGGGTATCGTCAAACCACACAAGACTTAATAGGGCCTATATATTGGACAAAATATAACACGAACCTAAGGACACGTCAGCATGATATATTGTTTGATATCAGCAGTGCAAATGCTGCCGAGGGTAGGAAATGGCATGTAAGGTCACTTTATCGACAAAATGTCATGTCACGTTGGAGCGTATACAGACTGCTGACAGGTGTACCTGACGTAATTCAGCAACGCTTAAACTGCAACCCTAGCAGAAATTTTAGTGAACAGCTAGTGACGCTAGCAAAAGTTTAAAAAGGTTGTTACAATGAGTTGTTGAAAGGTTCAGAACTGCCAGGAAGAAAGAGGTTTGGCTTGTAACCGCCTTAAATGTGACCATCAATGAAACTGAAAAAATTCTATTTGGATGAATTCGGCAAGGTAATATCATTGAGATATATCAAAATATCAATTACTAGAATTTTTTTTTCAAAGATCGTCGAAGTTGCCACCTGAAGCTCCATGCACTAAAACATTAGGTTTTCCCCAGTTTCAAATGCAATTTTGATGCACAGCGCACACATGTACCAAATTTTTGGCAACTGACCCAAATCCAGTGTGATCAGATGTAACTTAAATCCTGTCCTCGGAAATTAATACAAATGTGCGCTGATACTGAAAAATTGAAAAATCAGATCGGACCGAAAAAGCTAAACGATTATGCTTTCAATAATAAATTTACGAAGGAAATTTCGATGAGTTTTACGTCAGTGGCCATACCACAAATGATAAGACATTGCTTCCACGTTAGTCGAAATTTCATGAGGTCATATTTTTGGAAACAGTTACTGAAGTCATACTATTTTTGTTTATCAATACACATCTACGATAAACTATTTCTAGTGACGAGTGTCCTTTAACTTTGATTATCCATAGGCAAATGAATGGCGGCAGGTACAGACCAACATATCTTTGGTGATGAATGCAATCGATTAGGTACATGTTAGCGCTAGTGACATAGAGTCCTACTGGATGATGTTAGGGACATTGTAGAATGTTATCACAATGTTCCATCTAACTATAGATATTTAAAGATAGTATCTTCGAATGCACTTCATACTGAGTTTTGTGAAGCGCAATCTCTTCGGCAAATTGATCGGAATATTCCTTAAACACTGCATCTATGTTGAATCGCGTTCATGACATGTAAAGATGCTTTTGGAGCTAATTTATAGGGCCTCAGTGTCTGATCACGCTACCAGATGTCTGTCTGACTAACTAAACTTTCTACAAAATATGTTTGGTGAAGTATATTTAGAGAGAGATTTTTTGAATGATTTAGTGACAATCACAAGTTTCTCGCTTAGCAGAAGTACTTGTTTACCTGAAATATACATATGTAGATTGAGTGTACAGACGAGTCCTTAGGCTATAGCATAATATGACTCACTTAACTGTCATCCAGAATACAGATCAAAGCATTAATACCATCGATACAAAAAAGAAATCCTATTTTAATTATCGCAATAATTTTTATGAAATATATACCACCATACGAGAGCACATGTGTTTATAAATAACGTATATGTAGTGCGCGTGTCGTCGACTCAATTCATAAAGAAGTACATGGAAGTAAACAAGATTATCAATAGTGTTAATTTTCTTGTACAAGATCACACACGGTGTGCTATTTTCATCAGACGCAATACCTGCCGTGACGATGATGTCAAATTGTAATGTTTTATATGAGAAAATAAAAAGCACTCGACAAAATTTAATATCATTTATTTATGTTGATCTCAAATTTTAAGATAAATACATACATTACATTGTAGTCATACATATTTCTCTGAAAACATGTAATTTTACTATATATAAAGTCTTTATAGAAGTGTATAAGATCGGAGTATTAATGGAGATCTCACGCACAGACATTTTTGTAATTTGAAGGTTCCGTCGCCCATGTTATCGACACAAATAAACACAGGACACTGACGCATCGACCTCAACAACCGGCACTTAGTGAAGTACAGGCTGACAATATCCAGTACGGACATCTAGGTCATTTTATGTATCTCATTTTATTTCTGATCTTATTACTTAAGTGACGACTTGGAAATTTTAGACAAAACGGTATTTTTGTGTGTTTTTCCCATCACGGATAATCAGAACAATTTCCTTAGTAAATCTATTAGTCAAAAAATATCCAATGAGAAGACGTCATGTGACCAAGAAAGTCAAATGGGATATATAAGGAGTCTCTAATAAGAGAAATTCTCTCTTTATAACCAATACCAGGCAGAGACGCACACTCCAGGTCAACATGTTTACTTGTATTGCCTCATATCATTGTTGTATCATCACAACGTTAATTGCAGTCAGTGTTGCAATACCTACATTCACGGAGACGATCCATCTAGAGAAATTGTCTACGGTTTACCTGCCTTACAGATACGAGAACGATGTCGGACAGTTCATGTATCCTTCAGGTGCCGCAGAACAGACGGCGTACGATCCCGCCTCACAGTTCATTTATATTGTCGGTGAGTGAATATTAAATGTTACATTTTTGCTCTCATACAAATCATTATTTTACACTCATATTCACAAAACACATTCAGATGTATTGCTCAATATAACTAGACTAACATTTAGATTGTAGGAGATCATGAGATTGAGCGCTCTATTTCCCTCGAAAAGTACGTTGGTAAAGATTAATGTCTTTCAGTCTCCGCAGTATGAAGTTATTCAGCCATTTGAAAGACACAGATGTAAACGGAAGATAGTAAAAAAATCATGATATAAAAAGTGACAGTTTGTTGAGTATGAGGAATCAAATACGCACAAAATATTTAACTTTAGGCTGAAACAAATTTAATGACACGTTAGAAGTGTTTAATCACTGTAATAGAATCGGTTCCTTTCTTTGATTATTTTATTCATTTATCTATTTATTTATTTATTTATTTTGTACATTTTTCACACAAATATTTCGTTTATCAATTATCCAGTCTATTCGTGAAGTATGGATGGAAGGGCACACAAGAGTGAAGTGTATCGCTGCTGATTTTATCAGTGTTATATGTACCTAACCGGATGATAGTCTTTCACGGTTCACACAAAAATGCAATAAAATGTACACATTATAAAGTACAACCACTTTGACATTTAACACTGATCGTAAGGAAAATATGAAAACCGTCGAGGTCAGACATTCCACTCCAATTGCAGCCATGTTGCACTGACGGAGTATTCGCCGTTGGATTATTTATAGATGATTTGGGACAAGGTCACGAATTTACAAATGTCCATAATGAAAATAAGTTCATTTACAGTATAACATACATTTTGTATGTAGCTCTGTTTGACAATAATGACATGAAAGTGTTCAGATTATGCTAGAGACCTGTGTGAATTCTGACTTTCAAAATGTAACCCTATAATTCATATATATATATATATATATATATATATATATGCTGTATATCGGCTCGAGAGACACAAACATTTTTTTTTATTACTTTACCAAATATACGCCCGCTCCGAATTGCACACTTGAACATACCTTTGTATACAAGTAAAATAGCCTGGCATGAACACTTGTATTTCTATCATGAAAAATATATCCAGATTTTTTTGATGACGATGATATTTTTCAGTCTCTATCTTACATGACTGATTAGAATTAACATGCGAAAAGAATAAAACTTATCAAAATACAAATGGATCAGTGATACCATTTACTTAAAATTCAAACTAAGTTAAGAAAGTTTTTACTATTATATACAGTAACCAAAAACCTCTGTACAGTATGCTTACCGGAATTATAGCTGATGGAAATGTTGTAAATGATTAAATATCGAAAGATAAATAAAATTTATTTGATGATATAATACTTAATTGTATTGCGGGAAAATGAAATTGAAAAAAAAAAAATCCTAAAAATGAAAAAAAAAAAACCCTCCCTAAACTTAGACTCCCAGGTGTGCAGCAGAATGTCATCAAGGATACCATGTAAAGATATAGGACATAGCTGACATGCAACAAATGCAATAAAATGTGCACATTACAAAGTACAACCACGTTGACATCTAACACCGATCGTAAGGTAAATATGGAAACCGTCGAGGTCAGACGTGCAGGTAGACAAAAGAAGGTTATTATTCCGCTCCAATTGCAGCCATGTTGCACTGACGGAGTATTCGCCGTTGGATTGTTTATAGATGATTTGGGACAAGGTCACGAATTTACAAATGTCCATAATGAAAATAAGTTCATTTACAGTATAGCATACATTTTGTATGTAGCTCTGTTTGACAATAATGGCAAGAAAGTGTTCAGATTATGCTAGAGACCTGTGTGAATTCTGACTTTCAAAATGTAAGCCTATAATTCAAATGTAACCCTATAATTCATATATATATAGGCTGTATATCGGCTCGAGAGACACAAACATTTTTTTTATTACTTTACCAAATATACGCCCGCTCCGAATTGCACACTTGAACATACCTTTGTATACAAGTAAAATAGCCTGGCATGAACACTTGTATTTCTATCATGAAAAATATATCCAGATTTTTTTGATGACGATGATATTTTTCAGTCTCTATCTTACATGACTGATTAGAATTAACATGCGAAAAGAATAAAACTTATCAAAATACAAATGGATCAGTGATACCATTTACTTAAAATTCAAACTAAGTTAAGAAAGTTTTTACTATTATCGGTGTTTGTACAGTAATCAAAAACCTTTGTACAGTATGCTTACCGGAATTATAGCTGATGGAAATGTTGTAAATGATTAAATATCGAAAGATAAATAAAATTTATTTGATGATATAATACTTAATTGTATTGCGGGAAAATGAAATTGAAAAAAAAAAAATCTTAAAAATGAAAAAAAAAAAAACCCTCCCTAAACTTAGACTCCCAGGTGTGCAGCAGAATGTCATCAAGGATACCATGTAAAGATATAGGACATAGCTGACATGCAAAAAATGCAATAAAATGTGCACATTACAAAGTACAACCACGTTGACATCTAACACCGATCGTAAGGTAAATATGGAAACCGTCGAGGTCAGACGTGCAGGTAGACAAAAGAAGGTTATTATTCCGCTCCAATTGCAGCCATGTTGCACTGACGGAGTATTCGCCGTTGGATTGTTTATAGATGATTTGGGACAAGGTCACGAATTTACAAATGTCCATAATGAAAATAAGTTCATTTACAGTATAGCATACATTTTGTATGTAGCTCTGTTTGACAATAATGGCAAGAAAGTGTTCAGATTATGCTAGAGACCTGTGTGAATTCTGACTTTCAAAATGTAACCCTATAATTCATATATATATATATATATATATATATATATATATATATATATAGGCTGTATATCGGCTCGAGAGACACAAACATTTTTTTTATTACTTTACCAAATATACGCCCGCTCCGAATTGCACACTTGAACATACCTTTGTATACAAGTAAAATAGCCTGGCATGAACACTTGTATTTCTATCATGAAAAAAATATCCAGATTTTTTTGAAGATATAGGACATAGCTGACATGCAAGTAAAAAAGCCGGTTACGTGATATAAGCCTGATATGTCAGAATGTGGTAAGTCTCTAGCCTAATGATTGTGAATCTGCTGATAATGGCTACCAGTGTTGTTAAGTACATAGATGTTCACTGATGACTAATGTATGGTCCACACTGAAACTATCCACGTGCGATCATCTACAGATCAAATCGTATTAAAAAATATAAATTATTTGTAAATCTGAGGTGTGATATTTATTGCTGACATGTTTAAATAAGTTTGTCGGGTATACAGATTAATGATTTTACATGTAAATTGGAAATCACTTCAGTCGGATTTTTTTTCTCTACTGTGTGCACGACATATTCATAATATTCATAGTTTACAATAATTTCTTATCTAACCGCTTTGACACGCATCTCGCCTGGATATTTAACACACAAATGCTTGTGAACGGTCGTATTTGTGTAGAGTTTACCCTTGAGATCTGCCATCTCAGGTAGCAATTTGTACACGAAGGCATGACAAAGTATTGTTACAATGCAAAAAAGCTTTTCCATTTTCAAATATTTAGGATTAACATGCAATTTTTGTAACAGAATACCTCACTAACCACGACAAGAATGTTTCAGTAGAGGTTTGCTGAATATAACAAAATTTGGGGTTACAACGTATAAAAACCTGTTTTTGAGTGATGTGGTAAGGCATGTGTATTATGAACACAAATACCTTATCTGTATGGATATCATATACTGAACTATCCAGTTTCTTCCAGCAACTTATTGTGACGATACAAAAGAAATGCGTTTTAAAAAGCATGTGAATTGTACACGAAGAAAGATGTAATGCTCTGTTTCTTCAAAGTGTCGGCCTGCTATCTGGTAAATTCGCAAATGTAATGGTTTTTTGCTTTTGTAACCAGCCGTTATCATTGGCTGTATCAGGCATTAGTCTAAATAAAGATCATAATGTCGTAAAAGGAATACGGACAAAGAATTTATCTCTGTAACGTGAACCGATCGAAATTACTCGACTACTGACCATTAAAACGTAAGCCACACCCGTAATACACAACAACAACTACCATTTATTTACAATACACCATAATTTTAATATACAATATATACATATAACATTAATAAATCCACATTCGAACTGATTCTCTCCCCCCCCCCTCTCTCTCTCTCTCTCTCTCTCTCTCTCTCTCTCTCTCTCTCTCTCTCTCGCACGCATTAATATGAAATACAATAAATCTAAAACCAAAATATGAGTTAATATAACATTAATCAACACTAACACACAGGATATCTAAGCGTCTATGTCTTATACTTAACACAGCAAATAAAACGATGTTTTTTGTGTAATCAAAACCACTTATTTATCATTATACAATGACATGTGATAACACTAAGAATTAAAACTGCTACAGCCACTCGCTATCTTGTACCAGTTAAGGAATCGTCTTTACAAGATGGCGGAGGGAGATGGCCACGAAAAATAGGTGCTCCCTTTAAGCCAAAAAAAAAAAAAGCTCTCGTTTATGAATACAATCCGACCAAGAAATGTACTACGCCAAACTTAGAAATGCTCATTACATTAAAATAATTGAGTGTTGCTAATAAATTCATAAATAATTGTGAGCTCTTCGCAAAGTTGAGAGAGCTGCCGAGGCTCATATCGAAACATTCAGGGAAACACTCCAATGACATCCACTTTTCAGTAAGACATTTCCAATGCTCATCATCTGATAATACTTACAGAAAACTAGGGAAAACAATCTTGTTTACGTTACGGACTGGTCCGTGGAAATATATGGCAATTCGACTAAGGAATGGTCCTAAATAACATGATATATTTGTATTGTTTCCACATCAGAACTCAATATCATACACAATGTAATGCACGTTTTCCTTTTCCTTACATATATTCGGTTTCGTGGTATTCCATTGCTATTATTACAAAGTTGGAGATGCTTTTCGAGGGTAATCATGTGTGTTTAGCATATTTCCAAATAATTTAACGTCAAACTCTTGGCAGTAACAAGAAACTAATTCTTAATGAAACTGTGTCGTATACGATGGCCATAATGCTAAGGACGCTTTGCTGTCAGTAGAGGAATTGAAAGAATCTATGTTCAGCTTTCCACTCACTTCAGACAGGGATATCCCACGTAATACCCCATCCTAGATTTTTCTATCTCACCCGATCTGTGCACACGTCTGAGATACCCCGAACTCGCTCAGTTACAGCTAACAGATTTTATTAATCAACGGATGATGTTCAGATCGAGTCCATACAGTAAGGTACGAAAACGTGGGCTTCATTTAAGAAAGACACCTAGGTTCTAGATTGGCTGGAAGAGCTTTTAATGTGTTTAATTAATGTCAATATTTAAAAAATATGTTTATTTACCGGCAACTGTCAATTTTAAGACTTATCATACAAAATTCAGTGATTAATTCAAACGTCATGTGGTGTTATCAAGGAACATACAATGCACTTTTCAAGTGTAACTTGTACTGTCAATTTGTCAGAACAAATATCCAACTTCGGGATATTCGAGGTTTTGAGCACAATGTTTTCTAAATGAGCCACAGAACATTTTAATTTTTAACAGGCTATGAGACCTAACGAGGTTTAACTGTCATCCCAACCAAACGATTTGAAACAAAAATTGAAGTTAAGGAGTACAAACCTTTTGGTCTTTTGGTATTTCCGCTTCATTCTAAATCCTATTGAAGTCAATTCTTGGTACCAATTCCTAACTGAAATGCATCTGTTTTCGTTGGAACCACTCCATAATTATTTCAATAGGAGTTTTATAAAGTGTATTTCTGAGATTAAGTCCGTAAAGTTAACAAGATTGTTTTCGATAAGAGCAAAAACTCATGGCGAATTCTGCCTCGATGCCAAATTCAACAGTTCTCTCAACATGGCGATGGACACACAATTTTTTGTATGAATATTTAAGGCCAGATTGTATTCATGAACCAATGATATGTAGTGTAAGAGAGCACTTACAGGTAGCTTTTGCAGCAGTCTTTCTCTGACATCTTGAGAAGAACATTTCTTTTGACCAAACCACTGTTGTGTGCTAGATACTGTAAAACACTTATATTTCGTGTGGTAGCTATTTTCGCAAGGACACGCGAGGAGAGACAATCGAGAATTAAGATCTTTCGCGATTATTTGTACAAATCTATTGACGAAGTCCATGTTATTCTGTCGTTAACTTGCTTTTACATTTGTTTACACTTCCGATGAGTATATATATATACGTAACCATAACAACACAAAGAAATATACTAGATATCTATATATATATATATATACGCTTTTCAATTTCAAACTTTTTTAGAACTCTGTACTTTTAAACGACATCTACGTATTGTGGACTGTAGAACTGCACAAAATGGCGTCATTCAGATGTACTGTCACTCAGAACTCCTCGGGTGTGCTTCACAACACAATACCTCGGATGGAATAGGTGTAAGGATATGAAGTGAATTCAAACATTTTATTAGCCGGAAAGCATTGCGACACCCACAAATTTTGATATGGATTTAGAATACGCCAAATTAAGATTAGGGATTACGTTTGATCTGAAAGAAAAGCAAGTGCTTACATTAAGATCATTGTATGAGGGTAAAGATACCCTGGCAGTATTGCCAACTGGCTAGAGAAAGAGCGCGATTTTCCAGTTACTTCCATTTTTACTGCAAAAAAGTTGGCTGCAGTCACACCAATGATAGTTTTGATCGTAACCCCACTTAATTCAATTATGCAAGACCAAGTTCAACATTTGGCCGAGAGTGGAATTCCTTCATGTTTCCTCAATATTGAAGGGACTGGGGCTTCTACCTACAAGACAGATACTGTTCGGTTGGCAATTTTTCATCACTGAATGTGCATGTGAATTTATCTGTTTGCCAGTCTAATAAACTTTTTTTTAAAAAGAATGTCCGGCCTGTTAAAATACATATTCATGCATTCGATCGTTCTCTTTTATCTGCTCTCTTTGGATTTTTCAGAGTCAGACACATGGTTTGAAGACAAAACTAAAATTTCAGATTTTATTGTTCTCTCTGACACGCATTGCGTGTAACAAGAGGTCATTGTACAAAGTAGACACGATACATGGCTGACAGAGTAATTGGATATACAATGTACATATATTTATACATACATACATACATACATCTGATGATAATTAAAAAAAAAGTGCATATGGAATGCACTAACTTCTTTTCTGATACAGGAAACCAACGTTTTTGGTCTTTGTCGTCAACTTTTATATACAACACATTTGCATGTTTTGGAAGTTATATCATTGATTAAATTCATTTAAAAATAGAGAAAAATACAGTTTAGTTTTGTACGACAGAAACCCAAATTGATTTCTCAATATTAATATATATATATATATATATATATAAGCCCATGCTAATACGAATTTAGCATGTTTTTTTTTTTTAATACATTCGCATACAAAATTGTCCTGTTTTGAATGACAAGTATTTAGGATATAGTGATAAATCACTTAACCATAATATAAACTAAACTTTTCTTTTCTAGATATTTACATGCAATTACATCGTATGCTAATGAAAAAAGTACATGTTATATACATATGACGTCAATGGAAAAATTGTCTTGTACTGTAATACATATAAGCAACGACAGATCACTTGAGAATTACTTGAAGCTTTTCTAGAAATTTACATACATTGTCTATCAGGCGCTTGTGAAAAAATAGAAAACATTTCTTTCATTTTGAATTTACTTGGATACTTTCAATGATACTCGGGGATGAACTTATTTCTAAGGTGAACTATCTGTACATTATTACATTTGTAAAGATAGTGATAGTCGTCACCAGTTTCATTAAGACAGAAAGTACAAACTCGATCTTCACGCGGAATACCTCTCCAGCGTCCTGTTTCAATAGGAAATTTCATATTCGAAGTTCGAAATTTACTTAATATCATTCTGTTTTTTATCAGTTAATTCACACAAATATTTTTCAAAGAAAAATTAACTTTTAAAATCTTATAAAATTGTCCACAAGAAGAATTCTCCATATCACTGAACCATTTCTGTACATATTAATCTTGTAGACATTTTCTAATGCTTGATTTTAGCCAACTCTTATCTGCTGAACAAGTTTCTTGAAAATTCCATATAAATCCCATTCTAGTATTGTTAAATATAGATTTTACACACTTAAACCACTTAAACTGACTATTTTCCCTTTCATCTAACTTATATAGCATTCTATATATATTACTTGATAATTTCGTTTAAATCTACACACCGACGCAATATATGTTTCATAGTTTTCTAAGGCTTCCGCCTTGAAGCTAACAGCAGATGAGCATTTTTTAGCACATGAAAACAGACGGAATGAGGTGCTCCTCGAGCTGTACATCCAGAAACCTTTCTAAATTTCAACGATATTTATCTTGAATTGCCTTATAAAGAGAAAGAGAATGTAACCTTTTTAATCGATGAACAACATAAGTGGCAGCATTGATGAATTGACGGTTTTTGGGGTGTACCGTCTGCTGCACTGCTGTGCGCCATGTTGTTTATGAAAGTAGCCTCCTAGTTCCAATATGGAAGTTTTCGTATCACGTCCGAGGTCATGAAGCGTTAGTCACATTCGAGGAGTTCCAAGTGGATGTACTGTACAGGTTTTAGGTCATAGGTCAACATGTGTGTCACATTAGATAAAATTGTAAATCCCCCATACTATTTATGTTTGGAAAGGTGCTTAAATATTTACAATAACACAGTTTCTGACATACGCAATATCTATTTTATTGAATTACAAAATAAACAATAGGAAAACGACCAAAGTCGTTACTGCTTAGACGGCTATGGTATAATCAATATAAACACGTTAGGAAGCTTAACGTTAAACATTGTATAATATGTCTGGTCAATTGAAGTCTTATCATCTTGTCCTTAAATACTTGCTTTGTTGCGTTTATATTTCTGTTTGGAATGATATAAAGTTTACATTAATCATATGACTGAATCACTCTTCAAGTATAGTCGGATGGCTCTCATAAGCAAATTGGCGGTCAACAAGGAGCTATCGATTGCCGATATAGGACTTTGCCCTGGTCTATGTCTCTAATAGCTCATCAATTGCGAATATAAAGTCATTTTTAGGTCAACTTTCGCCAAATAATACATTAATGATTTACAGTGCTGTATAGTGCATGTGTGCGCACGATGTATGCACGCGGTTTTAGGTGATGTCATTGCGTTATCATGACTGTATTTCTTTTGTTCACAATCTGACCTCACTTTCTCTATTTTTGATTAGAATTGCAACATTATTCAGCAATTCGTTATACAATACACATTGTTATGGTATCCTGACTCTACACAAATGACTTATTATTTCACGTTTTATTTTGTAAATATGTACAGTAGTGAATAAGATATTTCCCCTTAAATCATTGGGGTATATACGTGTATAGTGTATCCTTCCGATATTCTATTACGTTGTGTTTGACAAACTTGGTGCAAAAAAAAAAAAAAAAAAAATAGTCAAGAAAATACCGACATGGCAACCTTATCATAATCCAAACTCAAGGGCAATAAAACAAGGACAAAGTATGAACAAAAGAATGATGTACACGGAGACTCCTGACAAATACAAGGGCAATAAGACCAGATGTTCCGGAAGAGTAAGAAGTGACCTTCACCGTGGCCTAAATTATAGTCATGATCACAATTCCGTTATAATAATTTTGCATGCTATCATTTTCTAAACGATCACGTTTTCGTCCGTTCTCTTATTACGCCTAATTCGTTATGAACCTTTGGTTTGGATATTATGTCCCAGGTTTGTCAGTTGTAACTTAAGTAATTTTTTCTGTTACACAGGAGGTGACGTTCTACATGTCCTGGATATCACCGACGTGTCCAACCCAACCGTGATCTACTGGCAGCAGTTTATTAACGTCGATCTAACAGATGTGGAATTCTGTGGGGATCATCTGTTTGTGGCTGTTGACAACAATAGCAATAAAGAAAATGGGTTTATCAACGTTTATAGAAAATATAACACAACCACTGGAACACTTGATTTGATGCACAGAATAACAGGTAATTAATCGACTTCATACAACTAATTACTTTTTCTTTAAGTTTGATTCTGATGATAATAGTAATAAAACAATGTCCGAGACATACTCAGAGGTATTTGTGAGCTTGAATCCATATCTATAGAGTCAAGTATGCTGTATCTCTTACGAAGTTTTTATTATCATTATTATTTGGAAGGGGATGTATTTTTCATTTTACGTTTCATTAAAACTCGGACACACCTAAAAAATAAAAATCTTGTATACAATAGTAATTCTTTTTGAAATCGGTACAGGTCTCTGTAGGGTCTAAAACATGAAGCAATGAAAGCCGAATTATACATTGTTTTATAGGCAATATTTCCTTGGTCGCAGTTCGTTGTCTTCTATCTGGCTGCCTATATTGTTTTCACGGAAACTGTTTAAATTTTGTCCAACAAAACGACAAAACGAATAGAAAATGCGGATGCTATAGTTTCTGAGAATGATCGTCTCAAATTGTAGTTTTTACGTCTTTGTTAATTGTTCAATGAGCATGTGTAGTCGTATGCATTGTAAAGAAAAAAATCCTTTACATTTGATATCACAGTGGTTGTACACAGCAAACAACACCTTTCATTGCAAATTTAGAATTAGCTGCAATATGATCAAATTATGAATTAAACATTCAATTTAATCATACAGCTATTTTTGCATTCTATGATTCCTCAGTCATGCTAGGAGCTTAATATAGTTAAGTCTACGATGCGATCGATGAAAATAAAATGGATCAAACGAAAAATCTGACAGGGGGTTGAATATTATTTGTAATTAAAACAAATCGTAAATGACAATATTGCATAATTCAAAAGACCTCTGTTATATCTGTATATCTTGAACCGTGTCAATATTTGAATGATTTAAGTCATGATCTGCCGGTTACGGCAAACCTTGGAGTATGAAGTCCACCAGAAAAAAACATTCAATTTATCTCGTCACGCATTTATTGTGCAGCGTGATACAATTGAAGGGAAACAACTTGTATAGAGTTATCAATGGCATTTGGAAATCAGCTGAGATCCAACCCTTATCAAATTATTTATGACATAAATAACACATAACATACAAACAGTCTCTTGAAGCTCTTCACGTCAATATGAAATTCTCATTCATTTATAGCTGTGCAGACCAATTTCTAAATCTATAACTTAATATTCGATTTGACTTGTTTAACTTTGCGATTAAAAATTGTGGTAGAATTGCGTTAAAGCCGAGTTGTAAGCTGTTATGATATCCTTTCTGTTTCAGTTGGTTCACTTCCCGACATGATATATCCTACATCTGACTGTCTAACAGTCGTCGTGGCTGTAGAGGCAGAAGCCTATCACAACGGCTCTCACTTCGTCGATCCAGAAGGTGGTGTTGGCATCATTAAATTCACCACAAACGCCGGCGTAAATGGGGCGTATCAGTACAGGAAACTCGACTTCAGGAAGTTTAACAATAAGTAAGTCGATAATTCGAGTTTTCTGTAGAATTATACTGAATATATCATACTTATTTCGAAAAAAAATTAATAAATAGTAAATAGTAGTATAAACAAGTTAAAAAAGATAATGGTACTGAATTTCATTTCTTATGAAGTATGCTATGGTTTCGTTAGGCAATGGAACCTTTACTGATCAGGGTGAATAGATAGAATGCAAAATACCAGTATATAAATACAGTTGTATTGTAACCCAAAATCATTGAAATGATGACAAAATATGTACATTGGAAATACAGTTTAAAGTTTAAGAAGCACATGCAGCAGATGACATGATGTTTGATATGGATACACTTGAGTTCCTGTTGTCTCAAACGACGACCTGTGATTAAACCTGTAGTCAAAAACTAAGTAATGTAAGGCTCTTAAATATGTACCGGGGCAAAGGACATCAAAACCATCCATTCCACACCACTATAAACCGTAAAATGTTTCTAAATACGATCATTTAATCAACATTTTGTAACACAGTGGAAAAATGATCCCGTATCACAGTTAAGTAGTAAGATATTAATTTCGTTATGTGAAGATTCGAGTGAGCAGATGGTATTTAAGAGTCTATAATATATCTTATTCAAGTACTGTAATTGCATCTACCATTCTACAAATAATCCTTCTAAGGTTTACTGTAGAATACTTAATTTTCATTTATTTCGTGGGCATTCTTAATAAATTCAAGTGTTCATGGTCTTATGAGATAAGTAAAAATAGATTAAGTCAAAAATTTACCAAATTATGTGTCCACGAAATGGTGTTTTGCTTTTGCAAAACCATGAAAATATATAATTTTACAGTAATAAATATCAGATCAATTAATTTGTATATGCATTAATTTATCTCCGATAGTCTGCCATGTGTTTTTGCATGAATATTCATAACAATTTCAAACGTAAATGTTAATGGTATTTTGATAGTTAAAGACATGCGATGAAAGTGTCGGAAATAAAATTGTTAAAAGTACGAAATATAAGAGACAAAATTCCAGTTGCATGTATCTTTAAAAACAAATGTTACACTATATAGTAATTGAAATATTTAATTGTCTTTGTGGTGAACATTCTTTGTGTTAAGGTGGCAGGACTTGGTATCCCGTGGGGCCCGGTTTATCTACAGAGAGAACAACAACACGTTCTCCAATGATTTGGAACCGGAGTATATCACATTTAACAAGGATGAGAGCATCGCATACCTATCACTACAGGTTGTATATAAGCTAAGAGATATGTTCACTACAGGTTGTATATAAGCCAAGACATATGTTTGAAATAATTCCTGAAAGTAATCAATCTCAAGCAGGAAATCCGAAATATACTTACACAAATGTAAATAATGTATGTTCCACTTTATAAAATAATATTAGATTAACAAGTCAAGCTCCACAGATTAATTTTTCTCACAAAAATGAAAAAGAGAACGAGAAAAAAGTCAGAGAAAAGAAGAAGAAAACAACAAAAATGGACATGGACGATTGGGAAAAAACATTAAAAAATATAGAACAGAAATAAAATGTTACTTCGATGTGAATTTGACGTTTTCTATTTTTACAGGAGAACAATGCAATTGCAGAGGTTGACGTGAGAACACAGAACATTACCAACATTCATCCTCTTGGTTTTAAAAACTGGACTAATTCTGAACTAGATTCAAGCGATAGAGATCAAAGTAAGTTTATCTGACCTTTTGATACTAGCATAGCAGTGCCCCAGGAAGCCAAGGACTGACATACACTTGACTTATGATGACCGAGTTTTGACGGGAAGGATGTGGTCCATTCACTTGACTGGATCAGTTTGATTCAAACTCAACGTTACAAAGATAATTAACGTCCATATACTCGATACAAAATGACAAGCTAAAAGCTTACTGCATGATTTTCCAATAAGTAGCTTGCACCAAATCGACCGATTCTAATATTGCGACATATGCATGTATGACTCTTGATGTCGTGTCTTCTATCAAATCCTTGGGTGTATAGATTATCTAGTACATAGCTACTGGTAACAAATATCATAAAAAACACACAAGTCATGGTTGATTTATTTCTATTGATATACAGTATCTTACGTGAGTTTCCTCACCAGACAAGCTTTACAAAACGAGTCTAAGGATGTTAGTAGGATGGACATAGTAAAATGACATTTGAAAAGCTTTTCCGAATCTGAAATCAAATAGAAGCGAATGCAATGTTTCAAAAACAAAATCAAACAAACATAGGGGGAAAAAATGAAGACAGATATTCATTAGGCTGATACTATATCTTTATTGTTGATATTCTATTTATTCAATTCTAACGTCAAATGCAATTAAGAATTTGAAGTTATTCATGACGTACTAATTAAAACAATGTGGATCTAAATCTATAATCATAGCTCCGCTCGGTGTTATAACCCGTGTGGTCATAACAAAACTAACGCAAGGGAAAGAATAGAAGTTCTTATAACACGATCAGTAGAATGACATACAGAATAGAAATTCTTATAACACAACCAGTAGAATAACATAAGGAACAGAAGTTCTTATAACACAACCAGTAGAAGATTTGAGAGTGACGTTTTAATGACTAGACGGTCACCTTTATCTTATAACACAACCAGTAGAAGATTTGAGAGTGACGTTTTAATGACTAGACGGTCACCTTTATCTTATAACACAACCAGTAGAAGATTTGAGAGTGATGTTTTAATGACTACACGGTCAGGCAAATGATCAGTGTGGAGCGTACTAGCACTGACTTGAAGGAAAGGAATTGATCTTTTGAATCGATTGAACGTTTTCGGCTGTACCTGTATTCCTATGTACATTTGCATAGAAAATAGTGTGACGGTATGGTAAAAATATAGGAAAAAAGTACACAAGATGGCATCAATGTCCTGTAATCGATTCGGCTATTTCAAATTTCGAATTCCTTCACTACATGAACTTGGTATAAATCTGTTTTGTATTCATAATGAGGGTTATCAGTCGTATCGACCTGGCGTAAAATTAAAATTGTATCACTTGATTATTGTAGAAATCAACATCCGTCCTTGGCCAGTGATGGGCATGTATCAGCCTGACTCCATCAAAGCAATACATATAAAAGGGAAAAGTTATCTTGTGACAGCCAACGAAGGAGACTCCAAAGATTATTCGGGTATACCAGGATCTGGTGGTTTCAATGAGGAATCAAGGGTTTCAGACCTTAACATAAGTGGTAAGCAAAGCATGGCTAAAATAATTGTCTTACGTTTGTATTACTTCTATATGACGTTATCAAAGTTTATCACAAGCAGAATAGAGATACTGATTTGGATGTTGACTTATTGCAAATGTGTTTTCATTATTAAGTATCTGTTGATAAAGTTAATGCTTGATATCAGCATTGATCTATCTTAATACTATAAATGACAACACTAGATAAGTAAACTCAATCTCAATACGCACTGTGACAATTTTTCGTATCAGCTTCATATAATCTCACTGACTTTTTTTAAAATGATGTTTATTTTCATGATAATTGTAGCCTCTTCAATAATCACGCGTTGGGCCAACCTGAATGGATTCAGTGGCACTCTGGATGAGGACGAAAATCTAGGTGAGTGAAATCGATTAAACACTGATTAAATATATAATGCATATTGATGCAGCATAAACGTGAGATTTTCCAAGCGAAGTCTATAATAAAGTGCTGTTTGTCTAAGCAGAACCTCTATGTTGTTTTAGGGCGGTTGAAGGTTTCTAAATTAGATGGACAATCAGGTGACACATACGACACATTGTACGCTTACGGAGCCAGGAGTATCTCAATAATTGACCTCGATACATTTGAACGAGTGTACGACAGCGGGGGCGAAATGGAAAGAAAGGTTGCTGAATATGAAAATGCGTTGTTTAATGGAGATGGATTAGCTGAAATTGTTTCTACGACGAAAGATTCCCGGTCTGACGACAAGGTAGAGTGACCTCATTGACAGTTTATATGTAATTGGTGGTGAAATAATACTTGTAATAACACTATTGTATACTGAAAGGATAAAGAAACGCAGGGTAATATTTATTCCGATATTTTGAAAACGCGTTCTCCAAATAAAGTGAAACTTTGTGAATTGAGTAATTAGGTCATATTACACCTTGTCATGTATCGAAAATTTAGTCACGGTACAGTGCGCAGCTCTGGTAAATGGAGGAAAGAAAAAACAATAATCTCGTGCACCGTGTTGTTCTGGTCTCATGCAGCGTTGGTCAAGACACTCTTCGTTAGTCTTTATACAGACCAACTGCTTCCCTAGAATTAATTGAGAATTTGATTCGTTTTAAGAATGGCACGACTCACAGAAGTTCAGAGGGGTCCGGCCATTCAGATGCTGATGCAATGACAACTGCAAAATCAGGTTGCTAGGCACTTTGGTGTAAATGTTTCCACCATAGAACTCTTGTAAGAAGTCTTCGGGAAACTGGGCGATTGGCCGATCGACCTAGGTCAGGACGTCTGCGCGTAACGTCACGAAGTCAGGATCGCTATTTCGTCGTCTCTCATGTGCGTAATCGGCGCCTTACTGCCGTTGAGAGTGCACTTAATGTTCGTGGAAATCATGGGCGTCCTATAAGTTCGAAAACTGTAAGGAATCGATTACGAGAACTTGGTGTAAAAGCACGTCGCCCATACGTAGGTCCATAATTTACCCATGCTCGACGTCAGCGTCGTATGGCCTGGGTCGCTGCACATGCTCCACGACGGTTTCCACTGAGGCAGTGGAGACAAGTTTTCTTCACGGACGAGTCTCGATTCTGTCTTTATCGATCTGACGGCCGTCAACATGTCTACCGACGTCGTGGCGAACGTTTTACGGACGCTTGCGTTGTAGAAAGGGATAGGTTTGGGGGCGGTTCAGTAATGGTGTGGGGAGGAATCTCACACGGGTTAAAATCACAATTGGTTGTCATTGATGGCAGTTTAACAGCAGCTAAGTATAGCGATGAGATCCTCCGACCCCATGTTATCCCTTTCTTACATTAACATAATCTAACTCACCAGCAGGATAATGTGAGGCCCCACGTAGCAAGAATTTGCCATGTCTTTCTGGCCAACAACAACATTCAACCACTAGATTGGCCGCCATATAGCCCTGATTTGTCCCCGATCGAGCATCTTTGGGACCAGTTGGATAGACAGGTTCGAAAGCGCCAGCCACCCCCTGCTACTCGAGAGCAGTTGACCAGAGCTCTGATTGAAGAGTGGGACAACATCCCCATAAGACGGATTAACGATCTCATGAACTCTATGACCAGAAGAATAAGGGCCGTGACCACAGCAAACGGCGGACACACAAGATATTGACTCAGTTCAATTTCAATTTCAAAATCCTATGGGTCCATTCAATTTAACCGTTAGTACCTCTAAACCAATTGTCAGATGCATAATACAGACTTTGGAAATTTTTAAGCTTTAATTTATCTGTAAGTATACAAAATTTCGTTTTAAATGAAGCCCGATATCATACTCAATTTCTGGTTTAAAGTTCACCCTGCGTTTCTTTATCTTTTTAGTATATATACTTTCTTAATGAAATGCTCTTATAGGTGATGCAATTTCAGCGTAATGTGTCCAGTACACAGTATAAATGCTCCAATATCGCATTATATTATAGAGAAGAACAAAAATCAAAACATCGCATTATAATCATACTTTTTTCATTGTGTTGTACAGGGGCCTGAGGTAGAGGACTTGGCTGTTGGTGAAATCGGAGATTTGATGTTGTTATTCGTCGGCTTGGAAAGACCTGGCTTCATTGCAATATATTCCATACCAGACGGTATCAATTCTATACAGTTCGAGAGCATTTACACCGGTATTCCCATAACAAATGACACGTTTGAAGATCTGTACAACCAGCGACAAATCAGTGAAATTGATCCCGAGGATATCAGGTGAAGAGGGAATGTTATATCTTATGTAATGGTAGCGGTTTTTATATTACTATGGCAAACAGTTATATGTTTTACAATTATTTGTCGGTGTTATTTTGTTACATTAAACCACGCTTAATCGTAACAGCAATCTTGATTGCACACGAAACAATATGGTTGGATTCATTATTAATTTTAAAGTTTGGGTGGTTGGGTGGCGACGTGGTTACGCACTCACCTTTAACCTAGCCGTCCGTAGTTCAATTCCCGGAATGGATGTGAAAAGGTATGGGGTTATCTGCCCGACCACGTGGGTTTTCCCCGGGTATTCCGGTTTCCGCCTACAATAAGACCCCTTGCGCGCTTCCGTCCGGGCTAACACGAGTGATTTATATAAGTTAGTTAACTTGTTTAATAATTATTTTTTAAATGAATAAAAGTTCATATTTCATATTTAAAATTGAGTACAGTACTTGTAAATAGTTTTATTTTGTACACAAGTCTGTGCATGCGGACATGGGTTTGTCTGCGTCCATCATTAGCAAAAATTGATAGATCTCGGAAATGCTCGAGATAATTCATATTTACATTAAATAAGTGTAGCTTCTTTTCCTAATGAGATTATACTATAGTAGTTGAGGCTTAAGGTTAGACTGACAAAGTTTACACTTAAACCCTCTGAAAATAATAAGCTTATAGATGGCTGTGTAGAAGATATTTCGTGTGACTTCTTCAATAGAGAAGTTCATTTCAACACCATTGTATAGAAAAGTATAGTTCTACATCTGAATGACTTGATGGTTAAGTCACCCCAGTGCGATATCTCAGCAACCTTTAATTGGCTCAGTGTCTGCAGAAACCATGATTGTAATATGAATGTAGCATAGGTCCTAAACCATCAACTCGATGTAGGTAATTTTGGAAGTTGTGTTCACTCTTTGGTGTAGCCAGTTCCAGTTGAACTACGAAATGATTATACAAACATAATCGCTCACGCATCACTCATACTATGGAATAATGGTCATACATTATTACGGATAATTGTTACGTTTAAAATCACACACTTTAAAACTTAGTACAAATATATAGAATACTTTCCAGGAACATCCGAAGTAAGAGTAATAGGTGGGTCATGCTCGTATATTACCATCGAGAGACAGTGTAAGGGTGAAGTGGGGAGACGGCGGTGCCGGGGGTATGGATGGGTGGTCCATGCTGCACGAGCACGTACATACAAACACACCTACATACATTCATTACTAACACTAGCGTTACGTGCGATCATTTGAATGATTAACCATAACTGTATTTGTACACCTGATTATATGAATTCAAATGTTATAGTTTGGTTGTCAAAGATCCATATTACTGTGTAACGATTTCCTAATATAACGGGGATAAGTTATCTATAAAATGTACAATCACGCTTTTCAAACATTTCGTTACTTACAAAATTAACTATGTTTTTTTAAGAATTCTATTTCAAAGATGCTGTGATAATTGTGCTGATGAAATTATAAGGGAAATGTAAGATTCCAACCCAGTTTACTTATCGTACTCTTCATTGTTTAAATACTTGGTATTAGCTCCTCGATAAAGATACTTGACTAGGTTATTCTCTCCTAATGCCTTATAACATGGTTATACTATTCAATAGAACCCATCTTTATAAGAGAAGAGTGGATTAATTAATTGTTTTTTAATGATATATGTACTAATTTTACTATCTGTTCACAGGTTCATCAGTGCGCAGGATAGTCCAAACAAGAAACATATACTGTGTAGCGCAGGGGCACTCAGTGGTACTCTATCAATTTTTGAGATAAAAGGATTAAACAACGATGTCACTAGCAGTGGAGTCCGCGCTGTTGACCATGTTGGAGTTTCCTTTATGGGGTGTATACTAATTATAGGTACACTGATCTCATCAATCTTTGGATGATCGTGATCGACTGGGGCCTTTGGAATTTGCACAGTATATTAGAGTGTTGGTAATCATGTAGAATGTTTATCTTGGCTGATTGTTAATACAACAATTCTTGAATGAATTGATGAAAACACATTTTGTTGTAAAACATTGAGTGATGTTACCACCAATTCACTCAATGACAACGACGTCATCGTCATCGAATTATTCATGAACGAATTGGTCCATCGATTTATTAATTAGGGGACTGATTCACCATTTTGTTTTTGTTTTGTTTTTTTTTTTTTTTTTTTTTGTTTTTTTTTTTTTTTTTTTTTTTTTTTTTTTTTTTTTTTTTTTTTTTTTTTTTTTTTTTATATATTTATTTCAAAGTTTATTTCAATTATTACCAAAATATTGTTCTATATTTCTAACGATATTGTCTAAACAATGTATATGGCTGCTGTGTGTATGTATAGAAAGCTGTATATTGGTCCTCATTTCATAACGCTAAACGAGTTGCAATGGCTACTCCATAACTTGATATAGTGTTTTGTTTGTACGTCAGTGTTCAGTACCTTTCATGCAAAAGCGTGCTACAAATGTATAAATTTTGCATTCATAAGAATGGACCGATGGACTGTAGGATTCCTTTTCAATGCTGCTGTAAATGTAATTTACAACGTCATCTAAACGCATAATATATAACCCTAGCTAAAGCTGATAAACGATGTAGTCGACAACGGAATGATTTAAATACATAATTAAAACATTGAAATATCGGAAATAATTATCGAAAGATAGTGATCTATGCAAAAACGTCAATAAACACGTTCATTTACGATTAACACACATAAATTACAGTAAGAGTGCGGCAAACGTTCCACATCCTCAATATTATTGATAGATCTGTTCATAAAGGCCGTATCAACTGTTCCTGGGACATTGTGTTATTGAGAGTTTTGCTAACTTATGCTGAGTTAATTTTTTTTCTGGATAGGCTGTATACAGTGTTCCTTTATCATTGCGTGTTTTACTCGCTTACACTGTATCATGTTGTCCTGGGTCATTGTGTTATTGCGTGTTTTGTTCACGCACACTGTATCATGTGGTCCTGGGTCTTTGTTATTGGATGTTTTGCTCGCTCACAGTGAATCAATGGTCCAGGGTCATTTCCTTATTTGGTGTTTTGCTCACTTAGACTGTGTCATATTTTCTTCGGCCATTACAACGTCGGGTGTTGACGTGTTTAACTTGATAGGTATGACTTGGGTTTGTTCATTTTTCTTCACTCCACACAATCCGATTACGATCAGGACGCCCAATTCGACAATTTCTGCCAGGGTTAGTACGGACATGCCTATCCAGAGTCCAAGTTGTCCTCCGATGTCACTGACAAAATTCTCTGTCTGTTTGATAATGTCAAAATAGAAACTGTCAGTTGCTATATATAAACACTCCGAATGAGAAGTTACGTAAGTGTACAAAAAACTAATGGCATGCATTTATGAGCTGTTATATGTGGTATGATTTCTTGTTATGGAGTTGTATCGAGGAGAGCAATTCTATATTCAAAGTGAAAGCATGCTAAATGTTTTAATCTGATTCTTGCGACAAATAAGCTTATGGTAGGAAAGCAATAAAGGCATAGAATAGGGTAAAACTTTTGAATATACAAACATTTTTGTTGTGAACATATCAACAGTAAGCAATATAGAATGTCGTGAAAGCTTATGCTGAATTACAAATTACATATTTGTTTTAGTGAACTTCCATTGGCATATATCTCTACCTCAGAATAGTCGCTGTAGTAATGCAGGCAAACGCTATATGTGATCATCTGTATACTGATTTCGATTCTCGAAATCCTTACTGTGTAGAGAATATGCCTACAGTACACAGGCAAGCTTTTACCCAGGGTGATTTCATTCTCGCATAAAACCATTTATATTCACCCATGTTGTATTTCACATTGAACAATAAACTTATATTTTATATATATTTACTGTTATTTTCTCCCATAGGCAAAATAGCAAAATAGCAAAATTTAAACAATATTCGTCAGAATGAAATTTTCCTTGCTATGCATACCGTGTACGCCTCTTCCTCATTGAACGCCTGGACAGTGAGTGAGGAAAAATACACCCGAACCAACATGACGTTATCACTGAAACAAAACACAAGCAATTAATGTTATGGTTAAAAGACAATCATTACACAACACAAATAAATTCTTTATATCCATGAGTTTCAGGCTTATGTGGTATAAGGTCTAGACAATGATATTATATCAATGAACCCACCCCCTCCTCAATGCTGCCAGAATTTATACAGTTTATTTTAAGTTTTCAAGATAAAGATTTCCCCTATTGTATTAAGGTTATAAAACATGCTATTTTTTGCTTTGGGTTAGAAGTAAGTATCGAATTAGTTAGGTATCAAATCTGATAATTAAAATTGTACGTGCAGATTTACAGTCTTAAATGGAAGCAAACGCATATCGCGAAGGTCAAACAATTGTGTTAAGGAAAATATTTCCACAAACAAGATCAGATAAGGGCATGACTGTGTAAGCAAATGCTCCAATGGTAAAATCTGCCAGTACGATCTTTGGAAATGTCTCGTATGATAGAACATGATGTGAACAATGATAAATGGATTTTAATTAAAACCGAATGAAACTTTGGTTGCCGTTATTTAAAACAATATATGTTTTTAAGTGTTGGGTAAAGAATTTTATTACCTTTTACACTATTCTATATACTGATAATTTGGGAAATTAATTTGGATTAAAGGGTAAGATTGACAGTTTACCTCAGTGATGTTTCCTTTCTGTTTTTATCACGGAGTATTTTACGAATCACCGGCTCGGTTGATCGGGACGGCCATTTTGTCATGGTAATCAGTTGTTCGAATTTTTTCTCGCTAAAGATAAAAATGAACAAGAAATAAATGTTTAAAGAAATATATTTCCCTATAATCTCCTACTTTAACAAAATGTTTCCAAAAAACTTAAAGTACACAAGTATAAGGTTAATGTCATTTATAAATAAATTAAACGATGACCTTTTTATGTCGGGTAAGCAGATGCATGACAAATTTGAGTAATACTTGTAGTTAGGTAAAATAAAATCCTTTCTGAGAAATACATAAAGTTTGACATCAAATATCTAGTTTCATACATGATTTAGACTATTACGATCAACACGTGTTAATTTTACAGTGAATTTCTATGTAAGAAAGTAAAATATTTGGCGATATGCTCTGATGATAAAAGAATGTAAAATTATAACATAAGCAAATAAACATGTAGTTAGATAGTAAAATGCAATTGTTTTCAAAAACTGCTTATTTTGTCTAATATGTCGTAATCAGCGAAATAAATTCAATAAGTGTGTCATTTCAAACGTAACATTATTCAATTATTTAGATATATATATATTCAATATGTTTACATTCATATCGTTTATTTTACTCTTGAATATCAATGCTGATTAATTCAGTTTTCTATATTTTATATTTCTATATATCTATATTACATGATTAATTCATTTTCTTTTTTTGTATTTATGTTATAAAAAATGTCCATGTATGTCCTTCAATATCTGACATTTTTATTGTAAAAAGTATTTTTTGTTTCATTGATTTTCATTGATTGCATTTGTAGTAAAACATACATTACAAATAAAAAGTGGTAATAAAATAAAGCCAGTAATGATTTCAACTGCTTCACTCAACTGTTTCGTCCTTCGAGGACTCATCAGTAATTCATAATGCTTAAATGAAACATGTTATGCTAGGTAAAGTGCTTTTTAAAGTGTTTTTATAAAATTTAATGATACATTTTTTTAATCATGAAGACGTATTGCTTTTTTATATTGAAACATTCTGTTCAATAATTTCGATGTACGTTGTAATTCGTAAATGCAGCGAGCGTATATGAAGCAACCATAGTCAGCAATCAGCAAACGGCATATATTGGCTCACAAGATATCAAGATGTCAAAACATTCATAATTTAAACTCAAATTCCATAAAACGAGGGTAAATATGAACGAAAGCAAGATTTACACGATAATCCTTGAAATGACTTCCGGAAGAACAAGCGTCTTCTGCTTCATCGGAAACTCCTATCGTGTAAATCTTGGTTTATCCAAGTAAATAATGTTAGGTTCTCAAATGATAACAAGGTATACAACAACGCAACCAACTTGCAAACTAACAAGCAAACAACACAGAGTTGGTGCATGGTTTACTTACTTGCATGGTTGTTTGCAGTTAGGACATTGAGAATGGATGGATTTCTGCATGAGTCTCTTACATTCCAAAACTACAACGAAAGGAAACGGATTATTAGTATAATGCTGTAAGAGACATAAGAGATATACAGAGACCATTCTGACCAGGTATATCATTGTTTCATGCCATATTTATTTTACTGTGGCAGAAGTCTGTGATACAAAATATGTGACTGTGGTATCTAAGCACAAAGAGTTCCTGAGTAACAGTTAAGGGCAGAAAGTCTCAACATTGTTGGGTTCAAGGCCAGAGCGTATCAATGTATTACAGAAAAAAATGACTGTTTTTTTTTGTTTTTTGTTTTTTGTTTTTGTTTTGTTTTTGTTTTTGCAATGCTTTTTCTGAGTGATTCCACATTTGCGGCAATAAATGTACTTGCGGATATATTACATGATTTATTGTCCCCTTCTAAATCTTCATCCGATCCACTTCTACACTTTTCCTCGGCCAAAATGTTCAAGCAATCTTCAAGACATGCCTGCAAAAATATAATCCCACTAACATCAGTGACTATGTATATAACATAAATAAAAGATAGATATATATAATTGGCAAAGTTTTCTTTTGTTATCTTTGTTTTCTTTAGATTCTCTAGAACGGTGTCTGATGAAGAGATGTAAATAGAGAAAACTGGTTACTTGTTTATATATATAATGAAAATAATAGCACGGTTCAGAATATGCAGGGCTCTAGCTATAGCAACCTAACATCTAAATTTGGACTTTTATTTCGATCACTTTGGATTTTCCTCGGTCATCACATAGGTTTCAAATTTTAGACCCTTAGCATCAATGACGAATTCTATAAGGCAGAAAAAGATGGATGTTTCAGATTTATTCATTATTTGGCTCTACTTTTTCTATTAACTATACATTTGCATTTAAGGGTGTCTTTTGTACCACAGTGTATCTTGAAATTAAATAATAACATTAAAGGGAGTAACATGCAATAACCATGATAAAGTAAACTGAATTTCTAGGTCGTGGAAAACGATATGAGTGATTTTATCATAAAAGATAGCTAGGCTATAGACACGTACCAATAAGTTTGGGAATTTATTTGAACTGTCACATCTCCCACTGGGACCCGCTTTTCTGTTGTATTCTGTCTGCATAAAGGAAACAAACGACACAATATTATGCTTAACGTTGAACGCAACTGTATATAAATTGGAGTTTAATTGCTTAAACTTATTGATGCTTATAACCAGTTTCTTGCATAAATCTAACTTCAATAATAGAAAATATCAAGCTAATGTAAAAATGAATCAATAAATTATTGACGATGAAATAAAACACGTTACAATCAGGATTGAAATTCAGTTCAACTTGCAAAAGCACTGACCAATGAAACGGCTATGTTTATTTCAAATCCCGCCGACAATTTGACGCCATCTGTGCTTTCCAACAGCAAAGAATTCGTGTTTTCACTATCATATATACGCGTGTTGATACCAATTGCCTCAGCAATAAACGGGACGAATTCATCGTGGTTCAAAGAGATCATCAATTCTAATCCTAAACAGAATAAAGAAAACAAGAATCACATCATATTAGGAATCCAGCTTCTGATTTTAAAGTAAAGAATAAAGCGTATATAGCGTATGTACGGGAGATATTTGCGCTGTACAACGTTTTGCGAAAAATCCCCAATATGTACCTTTTGCAATTTTTGCGTATTTAAATTTTTGTCATTTCTTTGTCCAGAAATTTGAGGTATATCATGCTATGCGCATTATATCTTAATTATTTAACATCAGTCACGGCAACAAGTTATCCCAACCAAGAGAAGTGTAATTGTTTTAATGGAACTTACAAGAGTCGCCATGAAAGTCTTGAAATAGTTGATAACTTTGCCTGTTCAGTCTTTATATGGATGGTTGAATTGACTGTTTGACATAGTTCCTTCTACAATCTAAATATACTAGCTCACCTTGTTCTGGTCCAGCGGTATAAATAGGGACATTTACAGCTTTAATCTCAAAACAAGTGCCGTACAGGAAATCTCCCTGTGCGACGTTGGTCAATTTCCTGAAAAATATTACACAAAAGTATAATTTCGATGTTGTTCAATGTAATCAAATCACATGATTTTCAGTTGAAGATAAGTTTTATATACAATTTTCATATCATCGAAATGAAAAAAAAACCATTTCAGCTTCATATACTGAAAATGTCGAGAGTAAAACGACATTTATTGTTTGAAGCTTTGGCTAAATAACGATTTTTTCACCACTACAAAAACTGTTGGAGTATTGACTAGGGATCGTTTATTGAAACCACATTATCAGATAATATGTTGTTATAACGGAATCATATAATTGCATTGTTTTATAATTCGTATGTCATTAAGCTGTTTGCTATTAATTTATTTATAAGGCATGCTGTAGTTTAGCGTTATTGGGCAATGTGAAATTGAAATATGAAAGGTATCGTTCAGACACACACATTTTGCATTATCCTTCATAGCTAGATACGATTTATTGTCATAGATAGTCTACATCATTTGTCAGGATAAAAACATGAAAACTGATTATGAACAGATGCATGGTATCTGTGACCTAATGATTAAGTGTGACTTCAAATAGAAAGAAATCACGACATCACTCATAAAGCATTGACAAAATACGATACACTTACGTTTCTTCGTCGCAGTCGATACCTCGGAACGTACACTGGAGTAAGATATCGAGAGACCTGTAGGAATATGGATTATGTGTGTATGGATGGTCTAAACTGTAATCTGATTTTACGGTGCTGAGGGTCCTCCCAAACACATCTCTTGCTTCTGTGAGGGTTCCTACAAGACAATCAACTCACAACATCATAAGGAGGAGTTGAATGCTGCATATGACTTACAATGTACTGCAAGGAATCTTTTGAACCATAGGATTCTTTTAGATGCTTTTGTGTTAATATCAATATCAGATACACACGCTCTTGATTTAAACAGCGGAGAAAATTACATGGACACAACATCAACATACACTTAAGTGTATACTATATATTTTTAAACAATAGCAAATCATTTTTATACCAGTTATGAAATTAATTAAATTTAAGTTAAACTTAAAAGACCTTGACATAAGAACCACAACGGAACCACCAGAGCCTCAAACACGTTCAACTGCATATCGACAAAAAAAATTGAATGTATCACAATGAGATCACTATGCCGGCAATATCTGAAGCCCTTATCGGTAACAATACATTGTGCAACGTAATTGAGCAGCCGTTTAATCGATGTAAGATTTGACATTGACCTAATAGCAACATCTTAAGGAGATTGTTTTTCTACGGAGAAAGTATTTTTTACGGAGATATGATTTTTTCTTCCATAATTCTGATCAGTAAAACAAGGCGGGTCGCTTACTTTACTAAATTTAAATAGTAATAGGAGTAATACAGAACATATATAGGAACTGAAAAAGAGATGAAAAAAGATAAAGCCATTAATATTGTTAAAACATTCAAAAATTAACTGTTATATGTAAATATAAAATATATCTATACGACCAGCATTACTAGCTTAAAATATATGGATTGAAATATTGAATAATGTTATTAAATAGAGGACGTTTTAACCTTCTGAATTCAAAGTTAGTCTATGAGCCTGATTTGGAGTTGTTTTAAAGTCCAAAATCAGCGAGAAAAATTGAATGAAAAGTATATTCTTAAACTGCCTAACGTAAATGCGTAATTTTATCAAATTTGACAGATCCATTAAAAATGGTTCATGACTTTGTACAAAAATGTTGTTGTACTTTAACCGATTCCTGAACAGGTATTATAACCATATTATGGCTACTTTGATTAAGTTTAATTGACATGAAATTGACAGTTCACGTTAGGATAAAAGATATAATATCTGAAATCGTATAAAGAGTGCTATGTGTTTTCATACGAAATGGAAATCTGAAAACAAATGAAGGAAATAATGTTTGTAGTAAAATTTCATTACCAGATCGTGGATTCATTTGCGAAATTAGCTGAGCAGTAAATGCATAACTGATGAACGAAACAGGTACACAAATGAATGTAATGTTTTATGCATTTGTATGTTCATTTGTAAACTTTAAATTGGATAATGTATATTTTGACTTACAGCACCATTTGCTTGATTTAATGTATGATTTTGTTTTGATATTTGGATTTGTCATTGGTAATGTATGGAAATTAGATAGAATGTCCCTTTTTGATATCTTAGGCGTCAAATTATATTGATTTAGAAATTTTACATAAATTTACTTTCAAATGCGAGAAAATATCATCAAGTTAAATATGCTTCTTATACCACTTTGTTATTAAATGTTTAATTTTTCATATAAGTGAATCTATGGTTGAGTTCTCAATTTTTAAACCAAGTGTTACACAAGAGGTAAATATTGCATGCGAAATGTGATTAAATTTGCAATTTCCGATATCTTAGTGGTAACAATCATGTCTCAAAAAGAAAGAAATAATAATATAGACGTCCATCACACACACACACCCACATCCACACCCACACCCACACCCACACAAAACCACACCCGCACACCCACCCCCACCCCCACCATCAACCCCCCCCCCCACCCCACCCCCCCCCCCCCCGCCACACACAAAGTATAAAATAAGAAATAAAAATGTTGAAATAAATAAATAAACTCTGTTGCAGCTACAAGATTTGGGTTGTTGTTAATATATTGACTGAAATAAAGTGTCATACATATACTATGATCATAGCATGTTATCACACATCATGACCATATTAAACACAGCGATAACATTGGTTTAAAACTACAACTATAACGTCAATTAGAAGAAAATATTGGAACACAGATGACAAACAATGTAAACTGGTAATCACGGAAAGATTACTTACTAATTTTATATGCTGTCGCTGCGCTCTTAACTGCCTCAGTTATCTTTAATGTATGAACACATATTATACTTTGAAGTGCTGAAATTTGTTCAAAATACATTTAGATAGAAATAAAACACAAAATTAACCACTTATCTAGATAGAAAATAATATATTCTATATAAAAAGAGTCATTTAAGTTATATCCGGGTAGTAAAGCAGACAAATGCCCTGTATATCTAGTTACTTTTATGGCTCGAAATCTTAGCAATTTGCTTTAATTTGATCAAATGAAAATATTGCGATATGGACATAAAAGGACATCGAATAAGCATGTGTCTCATTATTTCACGAATTAAATTTTCGCTATCACGTTCATGTACAGCAAAAATGACCTGCTATAAAGTTACTGATAACTGTTAACTTCAAACAGTGTAAATAGTACATACAACAGTGGTCTCCCCAGTCTTATCGAAGTCCGATAGATTCACTCCAAGCGTTTGTTGTGTTGCATACAAAATAGCCATAAGTTGTGTGTTGTTTTTCACAGCGGAATATGGAGCTGGATTTAGACTGCAGAAACGGAACACTGGAAACGTAAGATTGTCCGGACGTACTTCTAAAGATGTTGTCAGATGGCCTCTGAAAAACATTATAAAAATACCACTATGTCACCATAAACTAAAATTTAATAAAACCAGTTTAAAACATGCATGAAAAAGTACATAGAGAGTAAGACTAAGTGTTCCAGAAGAACATCGACGACACCTGCCATATAATCCTTGGTCAACCCTAGTAAGTAATATCACGTTCTTAAATGAAAACAAGGTATACAACAACGGAACCAACAAAGAAACCAACGAGCATCAAAGACGTCCAGCTTCATATCGGAAGAAAGAATAGAATAGAGAGATTCAATCAAAGTGCATTTTTTCTAATTTCGGATCGATATATATAAGTAAATATAGATAAAATTCATACGGTTGTAACTGACCTATTAATAGATTTCTGCTTCACATAAGTTGCCACATCTGCTTTCAGTTGTATTATTTTTAGCTCTAAAGAGCCCGTAATCAAAACAGCAAGCACGGGTTCTCAAACAGCAGTATGATGTTGTTTACTTCATTATTTGACTCCACTGTATGGCGCATTAGATCTAATGAACTTAGAAGTCGAGAGCGGAGAGTTTACCTATGTCCTACTGTTCTGTTACACATGATGAAGTGAAACTCCTCTCCTATTGTATTACATGATGCTTTAATGAGGAAATTAAGAAATAAAGAATTAATTCGTTAGTGTTTTTACGAATATGCGTTAAATTTCATAAGACAGATAGCCTGTATTACACTGCAAGATGACGTTTTCAGTATGTGTTTTACATTTTCTATGAATTGCATGTAATCGTTGCAAAAGCTCATCCTAGGATTTAACAATGATAACTGGTTAGTCACATATCATATCGCGTTGCGATGATGACAAATTATAGAAAGTACATGTATAGTGATGTTTACCATTTAATTCAATGCAATGAATAAAATCAACCTATTGAGAGGTTTTTATCGTTAACATAATCAACTATGCAGCAGTAAGCATGGCTGACGAGTACTGTAGTGATTAGCCCGAAGACGAGAGTACTTCAGGCTTTCATTACTGGTACGATATATACTTTCCCAAGTAAAACCTGTACTCGAATTTTCTCAAAAATGATCCTGGTCTGTTCTGATGGTGCTGTAGTAGCTCAAAACGTGTAAGTGTTGATGTAAATAGTAGTAGATTAAACAATTTCATTTCGCTCAAGAAAGATATATTTTTTTATAGCAGAACGTTTGAAATTCTAGGCTGAAGAAACAAGTTGTGTGGACTCTGGGTTTACTTTGCCGTCTATTTTTAGGCAGATATAAATGGGATATGATTCAACATGCGACATAGTAAAGGAAGATTCGTTGAAAAAAAAAAGTTCTTTCCTTACATTTCATATATCTTATTGCTTCATATTTTGAATAATATTAAGTTGAAGATATTGGGATATGACGAGTACATTTAGCTTAGTATTCACAGTTTCACTTTATACATGTTTATTAAGTTTATATAGATTATCAATTCCCTTTAGATCACTTTTATTATGCTCCTGGTTCGGAAGATCGGGGGCATATTGTTTTTGTGCTGTCTGTTGTCAACTTTAACCTTGCTCATAACTATTGTAACGTAAGAGGTAAGAAATTCGTATTTGGCATGTGTGTTCATTGTGACAAGACCATTCCGGTGGTGCCAAAAGTTTTGACCGTAACTTTCGGCCTACATTTGAAAAACTTAAAGATTTGCCTTAACTAATGCGAAATGAAGACATACTGGCTCACAAAGTGTGCATGCAATAATGATATGCCTTACACGGTACAGTTTTAATGTTTCACTTCCGAATCTTATTGCATAGTGTTTCATAAACACATTTTGTTTGTTTTTATAAACAGTATGCAGATACTATAGCCATAAACTTCTAATAGCAAATCAATATAGGAACATCGTCTTGTTAGTCACCCTTACACCTTAACCCTGCTAAAGCTCAGTCGATTAGAGCGTACGTCCGATGAAGATCCAAGCTGTATGGTCCCGACGCACCTGTGCCGGTTCAAGTTTTGCAGGAAGTTTTAAAAACCGCCCTGTCTGTGCTAACATGGTTGTGTCCAAAACCAAAATACCTTATTCTAATTGTTCTGAATGACATGCTATGGACCTGACACATGTTGTTTTGTTAGGTAGCTACCAGGTATTTCATTGTATGAGGATATTCCGCCTGAAAATGATTGTCACCCGACGATGAATCAAGCTACCAAACTCCAATTCCTCCCATCTGCAACCCTCTCCACTCTTTTTGTTTTCTTTAACGCCATCAAATCTTTTGTGCGTGAAATTATCCTTCTATGCTAGATTACATCGATTTATAGGCATTTAATGGGGTAGGGTTGTGTTCATGGCCTTTGGGGAATATCCAAATCAGGCTCATCACTTACATTATCAATAAATATTACACGTTTCACTATGTGTCCCAGAGATGGCGCTTTTCTCGTGAATAAGTAATGGCACTATTTTCAGTATCTATCTTCAATTTACAACTCAAATGAACCAACATGCATGTATTATTGATGACTGCCAGCATTTGGGATCACAACACGGCAATGTGACACAATCGTGTCGACAGTATCCCCAAAGCTTATCTACAAAAAGATTTTATCAAAGCAATAACACTTAAGGATCGGAAAATGTTTTTGACAAAGAACATACTTTTACAAAATTTTAAGGCATTTCCGCTATCCTAAGGGAGTATATTCCCCAGCAAAAAATATCAATGGTAGCTCTACAATATTTATACATTGGGATATGTTTTCAGGTTATTGCTACTGGAAGAAAAAGAGGAAAGAAACTTATGATTTGGTAAACAGAAATGGAACCTGATTAAAAGAAAAAAACAGAAAACATATTACAATGTATGCAATACATATAAAACCAACATCTATAATTGTACAAATGAGGTCCACCTATTTATATCACAGATGATATAAAACCCATTTTGTTCATTATGTTATTGAGAAGTTGACACAATTCAACATAAATTGTGGAAACATTTAAAAATTAAAGATTTTTTATAAAAAATATTATCTTTTATTTTTATTTTTTTTATAAAAATATCATTTTGATAAATGTTTTGCTGATACCGTTTAGATTCAATACAGAACTATTACGGTTTGTAAATTAGAATGATGAAAGAATAAATATTGAAATTGACAACGAAATCGATATCATTCAATGAAATTAATGGGTGTATTTGTAATTGTAGTTGAACTCAAACACCGCTGTTGCAGCGTTTGATAATGATAGTGAGTTTTGATTATTTCAAATGGAAATTTAAAACGTATGCCCCAAAATGTCAAGATCGTATACAAATTACATTTATGGAAAACATTTCCTCCTCTTTGGGTCCATGGGTCTTATAATGCACAATTTGGTAAAGCATTTGAAGATCTTTCCATAATGAAATATTTTTATTCTACCTGTCTTGAGAATATCTGTCAGTTTGACTAATTTTGGCACAACTCTTCAGGCCCCTGTGGGTAAGACAGCGTCAATATGTGTATACCATTGAAGTACAATGACACACTATTAATTCTTTTTAAGGCAGTAAACTTTTAACAAGCCAAATTTCGCAAGATTAAGTTAAGGGGTTTCTGAGAAGAAGTGAAAATGCAAATTGTTTACGGTAGGAAGGCGACGGACAAAAGGTAAGTCCCAGGAACAAAATTATTCTCTACAGGAATAAGTAAATTTTCTGAAGAACATCATTATGGCAACTTGCATCCTTCAAAGTGTAATCAATCAGCTGACATCGATCACGAAACAGACAGAGTTCATTCAACTTAACGCTTCATTTTATAAGAGCGAGATAAGCTAAAACGGATACATAATTATATGAAGCATGCTGTCTTCAATCCGCATCCTTGTCATCAGATGAGATCAGTCTTTTAACCAAAGTAACATGACCATATAATTCACTGGATCAATATATTTTTTATAGGACAATGCAAAACATCTGTAAATGTACCATATCGATGAACACCTAGACAGAAACATTAAGGAAACAAGTCATATGTTTAGCAACACCATAGCACGATATAGATATCAGAAACGCTTTTCATGTTAATTGTACACCCTAAAATGGCAAATCCTTTGCCAGGATTAAATGAACCACATATAATGTATACATACAAATCCGTACATTTTGATAATAACTTAAACCACCATTGGTCAAACTATAGAGATAATCAATACTGAACCCGGGCTACATTTGATCATAGCGATGACTCGAAGTATAATAGATATTAGAAATAAGTCATGCGTACACTTATTGCCGGTAACAATTAGATGTAACACTTTATATATCCTTTGAATTCCAAGAGTGTTTTAGTGCATGGTCACAAGGGAAATGCCTTTTTTATTGAGACGTTTAACTAATTGTTTTACAGAGACGTTGAAAAGATCACTTTCCGTACAGGGAACAAAAATTATTCGCTTTTCCATTCACAAATGCATTATTTTCCGATTCATCACTTATTAAGAATAAGCAATATTAAGATCGGATTGTGATTGGTTCTTTTTTTTTACAATCTCCGAACGATAATGAATTAGTGTTGGGTTGTTCATATCTTATTTTGATGTTTTGGCATTATTGATATAGTAGTTATGCAAACTTTAAAATATAATAATTTACAGAAAATACACATTTTTAAACAGATAATTAAATGTTATAACGTTTTTAAGAGTTATAAATGAATATCCAACCATTTAGCCACTTTACCGTCCAAGATACCAAAACATTATGTATGTATCAATTAATCATTTTAACAGTTGTAATAACAAACATTTATAACACACGTCATACAGACTGTTAATGCATTTTGATTGGTTGATCTATGACTGGATGTGTATTTTACGCACTAACGGATTTTAAAACGGGCAATAAGTAATTCAATGTCTCTTTCAATAATTTGATTTTATATGGTTTTCTATCAATGTTTGACTGAAAACATAGCACAATTATTTACTTATTATAATGTGTAATTAATTATATCAGGTTTGTTTATTTGTTATTTGTTATATAAGCAATTATCGACATATTGTTTAAGGTCATATCATAATGCCCCAGCTAACATCAAAAACTAAACAAACATGGGTACAGGACAGGCCAATTCTTTCTTAATTATTTTTAAAGTTGAACACACTCGCCTAACGTCGTGTCTTTTAATGTTTGAAATAAATCTAACTAGAGTGAAATATCATACACAGCAAGTACTCGGCGTGTAATCTATATTTCTAGTATAATCTTTGTGGTGATAAAACAAACCTAAGGCATCAATTAATTACTACAACTGTTGTATAAAGAAAATCATCTACAATACATGGTGTACATTGTAAACACGTTTTAATTACTTCACACTGTAAACTGTGATCGGCAGAGAGTTTCATGCAAACAAAGAAGTTAAAAAGGCGCATTAAACTGTTTCCTTTTTTTTCAGTTTTCGACTCGTGCTGTTTAAATTGAGACTTTCGAGACGAGTTTCATGAAATTTCATGTGGAATGAAAACAAGTACAACATATTTTTTTATCTTAATTTTCTTTTTTTATAAATTTTCTTTTACAAGTCCAGATGTTGAGGACAAAATCAAAATGGGGCAGCCATTTTGGTGCGCCATTTTCAATTGATGAAGTAAAGTACTCAAGAATATATAACACTTTTGACATATAGGCAAAAATATTACGAGGGCGAATTCATTGGATTGAAAGCGAATTATGTGATAAATTACTGTGCCATTTATGCTGAGCAAAAGATAGCATGTGCCATTTTCGCTGACAAAAAGAAACGCGTGACGAACGTGTACTAAAATATGTGCAACTCACGCCAGATACTGCTGATGAAGTCTGGATATCTGATAGAAGGTGAATACCATGCAGCCAAGGGTGGACAAACACCAGAATATCCTTTGTATTATATACTTGGAATCTCCACACCGGCCACACCCGTGTATGGTCGTGTAACCGAGGAATTCCTTGATCGCTTCCAAGACAATCATGACTTTATAGCATCAGTTCACAATTCATCCAAAGTCTATCATGCAAGGGAAACAACAGTTGCGGGTTAGACTATTAGTCAAAAATATATGACTAGCTAGGGTTTTTTCAAAGAAAATTGTTGCACATTGTTATGATTGTTCGTTCGCCCTTAGCTCTGACCGATAAAACCAATCCTAAGATTTAAACTGGCTGTACTGTCACGTATTACCTAAAGTACCGTCTATCAATAACATGATACCATCAGCTGTACTGCAGTCTAATCATCGACCTATGTATCAGTATCTATTACTCACATCAATTTATAAAAGTTAATGTCATCCAGTCGACCAATCAGAGTTGACGAACGCATTCTCCTGTGTCAAAGCAAGGATGTCGTTCTGATTAATAAACAGAGTCTCTTGGAACATGTTGAAGTGTTGTTTTTCCCCTTGGCGACATGCGAGTACATTGTAAAAGGTTTATGGAAAGTTTTGTTCAACACATATCGGGTTTTTTTTTTTTTATTTAAAAAAAGGAACTTTCTTGTAGAAAGGATGATTTCAAGAATATTTTATGATTCACAGACAACACACACAACATATATCCTGAGAAAGTCAACTAAAGAAATAAAGAATTATACAAAAAGAGGAATTCACTAGACACACAAAAGAGTACCGAACTTTTAATACGCCGCGAGAAATATAATGTTTTCCGATTTGATCATGGTAATGACCATTAGTTTACCCAAAAGTCTTATTCAATAAGCATAAATTTCATAGCACCATGTGTTGTGATTTTTTTTCAGTCACAGAAGTCGTCATAATTGGACCAATCCATTGAAAAACGAGTCAACAACGAATTTTAACTTAATTCAAACTTCTAACTAGACTAACGAAGCAGTACTCATAATAGCGAACTCGAAGCTATCACAGTTATCATACACCCAAATGGGAACCTGTCCCTGCTGGTTGCAAAGTTGGAAACCCACAAGACTGTGAGCTGTCGTTTGATTCAAACTGTTTGGTGAATTTCCGACGATATGCTGGTTGCGTCTTATGTAAAGATCAAGGTAAGCGAGAATAACGACAAAGTCAATCAATTTCTTTTGCTTTTTTCGGATTTCTTCTGAATTGACATTACATTTTTTCTTCTGCTGGAGTAGATACTATGACAATAATACTGAAATCCTGATTCAATGGTAATTCTCTTGGATAATGGTTTGACGGAAAACTCGATGAGATTCTATGTGAAAAGATTTTCCTACATCACAGCTTGAAAATGGATTTGATGTTACGGTGACATCTGTGCATCAAGTGTATACACGAACCCAGCGAAGAAAAAAAACGACATGTCTTGATTCAAACACAAATGGAACAAGGAGAAAATATAGACAAAGACAAATTGATACAGAGACTCCCGAGGAAGTACAAGGAGATTAGGAGCAGGTGTTCTGGAAAGGTAAGCGTCTTCTACTTCATAGACGGCACCTGTTGTGTAAATATTGGTCAAGCCAAATAAGTCAAGTTCTCAAATGAGAAAGGAGGTAAACAACAAGAGAATCAAACTATTGAGCTTCAAACATGTCCAGCATAATATGTCTTACGTGATCACTATGACAACCGTAAAACATGCGTAATGGATGATCATCAAATCATTTAATCTACATTGAGGTTTAAAAAAGTCCTGATAGCAGTATCCCAAAGATATAGATAAACAACGTATATAATGACCCATGAAAATCGATTCGGCTACGCATCATAAAACTTGTCACGGATGTTACTTTTTTTGTTTTGTTTATTTGCATCTTGAAAAATTTACAACGGTGCGCCCTTTTTTCGGAACAAATCGATATTTTGAATGCTTCTGCTTCATGGTACAGACACTCAGCACAATACAAAAATAAGTGACGTGTGCATCAAGGCAGTAAACAAACAATGTCTCATCAGGTTATCATTTATTATTAAATATCATAACCCAAAGTAGCATTTATAGCCATTAGCTCCTACTCCGTTTTAAAAATTCATGTGAATAAGTTAGTACTAAAACCTTCTTGTATAAACTTGTTAGGTTTTTTTTGAAAAAGTACTCTAAACTTACGTTAGTCAATAAATGTGTATTTGGTATATTTTTTCTGCTTCAGGTAAATGAATCGTCCAAAATCTGTTTGGTTGTGTTAAATTTTCCATGGAATCTTATCTCACCCATTCATAGACCTAGACAAACATTTCGTTACATTGTATATCCAGTGACACTTAATGTTTTTTAGAGAAATGTTGGTGAAGAACGGAATTATTCTAAATATTTGTTAGTATCTAAAAAGGTAGATGAAAAATAACAGAAATGATGTCACACATAGATAACTATACGTAATTTCATGTGCGTGTGCCTTCTTTAAATATTTTAGCAAAATGGACAATATTTTACCCTTGAACTATATCAACAAAGATAAAAAAAAAATCAAGTAGTCTATAATTGTTTTCTAATCTGCCATACCTCATTACAAATTAAAACAAACACTTTCATTCTCTGTTCATGAGAGATCAGAGGTCCCCCACCTTAAATTAGTGATTAGGTGATACAAATACATGGCTGTTACCAACTACATGGAAGCCTATCTGATAAAATATTGGTATAAAGCCAAAATGAAACTTGTTGTATATGATCAAATATCAATATGATGAATATTGAATATGACTATAATCGACTTTTTCATTGATAATCTCGTGGATGTTGGCGGTACGATCTTCAAACAGACTTCTAGCATTTCCGTGGAAATTTACCCCTCCTCTCTTGGCTAACTGAAGTTTGTTTTCATACCAGGCTAAATATGTCGAAGAGAACATCAACGACCTTGCAACCAAAGACCATTAGAATCATTTAGGTGCGTTAATCTCTTTGTCTTGAAATCAGAAAAGTATTCACATTTTAGGACTTGCTCACTTTACAGCAAAGTATCTGAAAAATAGTGACACAACTATCTTGAAATCTATGACGAAATCTAAAAAAAATCTATACGATGCAGTTAAACTCATTGTTTGACTTTACTGTATCTAACTCTAGATTATGAAAATGTGCTGTTCACTTGAATGTCTTTTGTACTGATGGACTTTTAAGTCCTCGAGGTTTGCCGTAACCTGCATGCCACGTTTTAATTCAATTGAATAGTTGAACGGTGCAGAATATACACATGTACTTGAAGCTGTTGTAAAATTATCTGATAAATGAAAATTACGGAATTGGTTACATTATGGGATTACTGTACCTCCATGTCTGTTTGCGGAAGAGATGTAAATAGCGCAATGTATATAGAAATAGTTGCATTTGTATATATTTATATATATTGTGTATTGAAATTGTGGAGAATTCTCAGTGCCCAGTAAATATTGAAAAAAAGTTAAAACACTGGAGAACACATGTAAAACATAAGCGTAAAACATATGTATATATGAAGTTAGAATTTGAATGGTAGCACGGTTCGAAATATACACATGTGCTTTACACTTTTCGACATATATTGAATTATTGGGCTCTAGTAACTGAACATCTAGATTTTGACTTTTTTTCGATCGCTTTGGATTTCCTCAGTCATCTCCTAGGCTTCAAAATTTAGGGCCGTTGCATCATTGACGAGTTCTAGAAGGACGAAACAGCTGTTTGATGAAGTATAGTACATTGTCTGGCTCTACTCTAACTCTAAACTGTGAAAAGGTGCCCTTCATTTGTGCGTTTATTTTATCGATTCTGAGTTACAGATGTAAGCATCTAAAACAATTCATACCTAAACCTAATAAAATACCACAAAATAATACAGAAATACCAATTGCATCACTGATAAAAGTCAATAAGGAGTAAACAATATTCGTCTTCAATTAATTTTATTCTTTGTATATGCAACTAAGCATTATCATAAACTCTATATTTCTAGTACATCCAACGACAATACGTTCTTTCCCATGTGGAACAAACACTGTGATAAAAGTACAGGACACAGATAACAATATATGAATTAGTATTTGATACCCATGGGTTTTTATGAAATATTAAAACAAATTATCTTTGAAACAGCGGAGAGCACAACAACCATAATGCACGGAAAGCGATTTTTTGCGACAACAAAATGTTTCCGAGAGCTAATTAATAAATAATATTCGATTATTTTGACACAGATAAATGTTATCATTGACTTTGGTTAGCTTTATGCAACATTATGAAATGAAATTGCAACTTTAGGTTAGAATAGTATATCGAAATAGACAACGGGAGGATTTCGTTCTGCTGTATTCATCAAACGTAAACAATACATGTACATGTAGCACATCTACATGCAAGTTCATTACTTCAATAGACGTCAGTGATAATTTCATACCAACTGAATCTTTAACTTTTGGAAATGAAAAATGAAATATCAGATTATGTTTATCGTTAACCAACATACTTTTTTCAAACATAGCAAAAAAGTATACCGGTTATATAAAACCTTTAAAATTGCAGTTCCACTTTAATCATTTTTCTTACGTTCAAAGTTACTATTTGCTATGACTTTACAAGATTTTTCCTGATGTGTGACTAGCAAGTAACACTTGCATGCAGACACCACTCATACGAGTTATGAATCTCGTCTTGGCATAAACGTTTATGTAGATATAAACGTAATTAAGTTACTACCATATATGTCACATAGTAAAGTAAGTTAAGGTTTTATACAGATGTCACCAATGTGCATCTATATATACATTTGATTGAAAATATTCGATGCAATATACCTAACAAACGTGATATTGAATTTTCATTAGTGATTGTATAAATATCGGTCCTGAAAGAGAGTAACACCATCAGAACATTAAAATTCAATGTCACTATGGTTTCACGTTATATATCTAGGCATTGAGAAATCAAAATAACAATTATCTCTAAATCTAGCAAAACTATATATCATATACATATAGATGGAACTAGCTACACATTGTTTTGGAAACTCGATATTTTTCTCTTGTTAAGTCAAAGTCCACTACAATAATTCATTTGTTTCTGCTCGTTATAAATCATCTTTTTCAACTTTTTGTACTAAAAGCTCCTTTTCCGATGCAATTTTGCGTGGGTGTACATTTAGATGTCAGGGATAAGGAAATATTCGAATGATATTGGAAAAGTCCACCAACGCTATCCCCCTCTCGCCTGCATGTAGGATGTTCCCCCTGCCATTATAGTCCCCAAGACTGGCCGTCTTGACGGGCTTTCCGTTCGACGTCAACACCGTAAGCTGTCTTTCAGCATCACCTATGTAAGAATATAACAGACCTGCTTTACTGGTAAGACCACGAGCTGTTCCGGGTGTCTGATATAACCACAATGGTTTCCCATCCAGTGTAAAAGACGCGACAAAGTTATTACCTGCCATGTCTGTGAGTCGTGAGACAATCCGATCGTCTGCAGGAATAGTGAAAGACTCAAAATCAGGAAACAGTTTAGTGCCATGTAATTTTTCATAGTCTGAATCCACCAGACTCAAAACTTGTAACAGCTGACCGTCATGTTGTATCAGATGGATACTTGTGTTCATGGCGAGGGCGGATTTGTCTTCGTCAGAAGTCACAGAAATTATATCTGCAGGTGCGGCGATAGTTGATGCAACCAAGCGCGTTTCGTCAACCTCTCTAATGACATAGTATGAAAATTCTACACGTACTGTCCTGATGATTTTTAGACCGGTATTGGTACTCAAACGTGTGAGCGACTTGTCGTTAGGTTGGGTAACTATGACGTCATCAGTTTGTTGTAGAGCGGTCAGACCATGGGGACCAGTAATGCGAACCCAGTCAATCATTTCCTGGGCTAGATTGAATCTCTTTACCTTTAACCTTTGTCGATCAACTACGAGTACTGTGTTAGATATCAAAACCACATCACTGAAGGAACACGATTCATGTTTCCATGAATTTCCAGATTTAGCGTGAATCTTGCAAAACGGGACTATATTCGTATTTTCGAGTTCTGCAACTTGAATTCCGAAGCAGATGTGATTCTTGCTATCATTGAGTTTCAACTCTTCTGTTGCAATTCCCTTGAGAGATGTTATATTGAGAGAGTCTGGGTCACATTCCACGAGTGAACGGCACATTGAGACAAACTCTTTTCTTGCTACGAGGTGCAATGCGTTGCATTCCTCTGCAAAAAGAAGCTCGGGCAGAGATGCCTCATATTTATGATAATTTTTTCGTAATGTTTCGTATTGCTTCAGAAGACTCTCTATACTACATTTCTCGGGACAATTTGACAGTTGTGTGAAACGCATAATATCATTATCCATTTCTTTTTTTAGTTGCAATGCATGTTGAGAGCACGTATGAGCTGACCTGCTGGAGACATCTCTTTTCAGTTTCTGGAGCGTGTCTTTCATTTTCTTTGTTGCAGATTCGAACAAAATTTCAATGCCCTCGATACTTTGAGACGTCTGTTTGCTTGACATCAGAAATAATTCCTCTTCTTGTTTCCGCTGCTGGATTACATCATCAACACGTGGTACGAGATTTTGGATCTGCGTGACAAGTACCGCAATGCACTTGGCTAAGGAGGAGGTTGACAACTTTGCAAATCTGGGGAAGGAGAACATGAGTACATTGCCAACTAGTAATATAATTTATCAAATATAAATTAATAACAACGGAAATATTTAAAGGTGAAGTTTATAGCTAAAGCTATCATTGACTACTAGAGTAAAAAGTGTGCTTAGTCCTATTATTTCTTTTTTTCAGGAAAATGCTAGTCACGCCCGTTTCCCGACTCTTCCCTAGTACATTCCTAAACTACAACAAGACTATTCAACTATACAAATTGTGCGCCACATTTATCATTCTTCAGATATCAGTGAATCCATATTTAAGTATGCTACATGTATTTTTCATGACAAGTCCATTACGAGTCATTTATCCACTGAATTGTGTTATCAAAGATCAATAAAATTACTCTACAAAGACATTTGTGTGTCGCCGAGACCTTTTAATATTTAAGGGGCTCTTATCCTTGTGTCCTGTGTTATAACGCCATATTTTACCCCACGAAAGTTTTTAAGAGATTTCACACCATTCATTCTTGAACACTGTTGCTATTTCATTAAACATGTGATACACTCTTAAAATGCCGATCGTTCCGGTGTTTATCTTCCATGCGTTTACGTATTACAGCATACTCCAGACGTAAGAAATCAAACAGAAAATAGTAAATCATATCACCTCATTCAAAAAGTTGACCTGTTACAGTTATCAGTCCCATTGACACAAAGATCATACAAACTTCCTAGTGTGATTCATACATACCTGTCCTCTTGGATAGGATTTGAGCATGCGGGGTGCTCCTGCACACATATCTTGCAGATGACGCGATTGCAGCCATGACAGACCACATTCAAAGCTGTTCCCGGATGTGATGTACAGCTGATATCCATGGCTCTGTGCCTTCCTTTAGAATCAAATTTATACATGAATAATGTAAATATATGCAGATTGTAAAGTACAAATGTCAGTTTTATAGGTAGATAATGTACAGACTTGTATATGAATCTATGGACTCATTGTGTGCAAGAATTATAGCTTGGAGTAAACCATAGGGCAAATCGACCTGTATCGCTCTACTGTAGTTCAAGAAGAGAAAATTTCTTTGGTAGTATATATTCACGAAACTCTGTTATCCTGTTTTTAATGATGATCCCAAGTCACCAACCAGCGCTCATTTGTTTATCCAGTCTTCATTTAATATAAATATCATTTGATTTAACTGACTTGGGTGAACTTTTATGTAGGTCAATGTCATCTACATGAACAAACTTAATAATCATTCTTATTAACATGCTATTTTAGCAGTATTAACACTTCAGAAATCACTTACACATTTGTTAAATGGTTTTTGACTTATATGATTTTCATTCAAAGCAAATCTACCCTAACTTGCTAATGGTACCTTGACTATTAAAAAGCTTAAACACACAGTTTTGAATTTGATGGTAGGTCAAGGTCATGTCTTTGAACACACTGACAAAAAAGTCCTTCATCCTATAATGCTACAAACCCAATATCATGACCCTTGACCCCTTGGTTCTAGAATAGATGTCGTTCAAAGATTTAATATGACTTCAGTAACCTTGAAAATAGCCAAGGTCAGTTATCTGAACGAACTTGTTAATCCTACATAGTATCAGGCTATTTTCTAAACTACATGACTTTGGTTTTAAAGCATTGCCCTTACTCCTCTCTATACACGCCACCCAGTCTTAACCATTTCTGAAACAGGCTAGCTACATCAATCAAATTATTCTTCACTTCCACAAAGGACTCTATTGATTTACAAACCTCAACTCCAAACAGACATATGATATTGCTTACAACGTACTTTTTCTTTATTTGTTTATTTATTTTTTCTTTGTTTGTTTTCACCAAGAAGTAATCTGAGTTAGGATATTACCATTTCAGTTATAGGAAAAACACAGGAGTGCCCTTCCGACAGGAAACTTGTAGCAGTAAGGTTAGCGTCAACGCCATTTAATTAAAACTTTTTATAGAAAATAGGACGTCTTTTCTAACCGAAAGAAGTGTGATAACAGAAGATGATGACCTTGCGCAAAAACGAAAATTCATTTGTTTTAATGTAAAATGTGTTTTAGACCAAAGTTTGTTTATACATTCACAAAAACCTCTATACGAGAGCTGATCTTGGAAGTATATCAAATAATTCCGCCAGCAACACGTAAGATTTTCGTGCCATACCTTCTATGCTGGTGTTTCTTTCTTCATATTTTCAATAAATTGCAAATGTGAAAAAATAAATATCGGCTAAAAAATCATGAAATATAACACGAAAATGTCAAGTTTTCAGAGTTAAATCATTCTGTCTCTACAAGTAGACATTTTTCTCCCAACCCTAGTGCAACTCATTTACCCTTACATTTTTGTAATACCGATGTACTGGGCCATGGGTTTGCCTTATTTTTACAAATCTTACCCTATAGGGCATATTGTGTATTACTGTAAATTTCTACCAGAGTAAATAAGTATTATTTCTAAGCTCGTTTTCCCATCCCGTAAGTGTCATATGTATGAGTGGCATTGTTGAAGATTGAATAAAAACATTGTTTACCCTAACTAAAATTCATGTCTATTCATTACGTATTCTTAAACACGGAAAGAACAAAGTACGAATACACTGCGTGTTACGACATGACGACAGATAACGACGATGCACTGGTGCAAGACGGGATGCATATAATTTTGAATTTTTTTCATTTATCTGTTTATAAGCTACATGATCGATGCCTTGTGATACTTAGTTATGACTCACAGTCCAACGACACAACTATTGGAGATTTGATAACAAATCACACTTCAACGTGCGTAAAGATTTAAATGTACAATGACGCAACCCGGAAGTGAATCTGTTTCAATCAGAACAAATATATATGTATAATGTAGCCTACCATATTGTGCCGCGTGAAACCATTAGAATCTAGCAGGTTCCTTTTTGCTATAAAACCATAACGTACATTGAGAGATATAAGTAATAGTGTACAATACTTACAGAGGGATCTACAACAGGTGTATGGCGGGCGTCACTGTGTCAGTATTTACTTATCGTGCTGAAGCGTACCCAGCGATACGGTAACTTGATACGGCAGTACAAAGGACGTTGTAACACAGGAACTTGTGAACCAGGAACCATGTGCTTTCGACCGACTTATAAATAGGACACAAACACACGTCTTTGATCTGAAGTCTTAAAGTTACTTTAAGATATTAAGAATCTGTATGATAACGCAGTACATAGTTTACAGGTAAAAACTTAATTGATACAGAGGTGAGCTCACGGTAACCTCAATACAGGTCAGTCTCAATTCCGAATACCGAGCCAATTTTGTGTCCGAAATGACTGAAATATATTGAAAATCACTCTTGCAAACCGGCCATACCTGAACGATCAAGACCCAAGTCTCGACCAGTGGACCGTGCAATCAACGATTGGTACCGGCAACAGTTATAAGCTACGCCCCCGTCATGTAAAACTGTCAAAGGGAGGCTTTGTACACCATACCTACCCTGATCTGGATGATTATTATTATCATCATTTATCATATCATTACCTCCGATGACAAATTGAAACCATCGCTTCCATGAAGCGAGAAACGGCAACTGTACAGAAAATGTCAAAGTAAGTATTGGTGCAGAGTTAGAAAGCCGCACTCTCGCATCCAAATCGTGTTTAATTGAATAATATTATTTCAACACACACAAAATGGATGTATTAATCGAGTGTTGTTTCAGAAGATAAGTATTTTTATACTTATCAACAAACACCTTTTCATCAGATATACGGTAACACTTGTAGATAAGCCGACTATCTGACCGCGGTTACGTATGTAAGATTACTTCCGGGATCGTCGGGCAATGGGACGATTTCTTTTTGACTGAAGTCGACGTCGCATATAGTATACACTTTTCCCCCACCTTTCTGAAATATTTTTTTCTATAATCTTTTTTTTTTTTTTTTAATTGGAAATGTGCAGTGTAAATGTTGAAAGCGAACAGAATGTTAATGTAATGTGCAGAACGGAATCTGATAAATTATATCCGAAGTCCGGACAGGACAACTTCCTACACTTCTACAAACCGAACCCTCCCTAAACCGGCCAAATATTCATGTCCCCGTCCATGGTCGATTAGGAGAAGTTCCATGGTATTGTTTATAAATGAATCGCACGTGTGTTAATGGTTTTAATTACGCCATGAAATATATCTAGATAATCGAATACAATAGAGACTTGAAGAGGACATGAATTTCCATCCACGGTTCATATATATATAATCCATATGAATCGTGAGTTGGGAATTCATGCCAAGTCCCTTTGTCAAATACATGCGTATGACGTTCTCAGTGCCCGGTGTTCCAATCCACTGATTATTGGGGAAAAAATAAGAAAAAGAAACCCACAATTAAATACACACGTAATAAATACACACATACGTTAATCTGATCTTTGTCATGCAATATCTGATCAGTCTATTTGTGCCCGCTGTGACCTCATCTTTGTGGACATAGAAATGTAGCTCTGAGTACGTATTATATTGTTTCTCTGTAAAGTTATGTCATTTATAGCGATATTAGATGTCTTAACAAGACAGTTCAGTTATTAAATGACCAATGTTCAATAACATTTAAACACGCACTGTTTAGTCATGGTCGAAATCATTAAATTAGTTTATGATTTAGAAATGTCTTTATTTAGCATTTAATGGATACGAGTATATGTTTTTCTATCAATTATATTACATACTGCATATCATTTTCACACGACGATAAATGGAAATATACCGAGACAATGTCTATGACGTCACAATATCTTACTTCGCTGATGACGTTCGCTTTACACCATATGAGCATAAAGTCAGATTAAGATGAAGTAATTGTGTGTTGTAATTGGTGACATTACAACACGTGGATGTTTATTTAATCACGGATACAAGATGTTATTTATATGTATAGACAAAGAATATAATTTTGCCCGTTACATATGTGTCCGTTTATTTCACGTTCTTTCTCCCTATTTCAAAACACATTCTAATCAGATTTTAATTTAAAACCTAAGACTGACAATATAATTCTTTTTGTATATTCACTAACATACTTCATGGTTTTGAGTTTTGATTTAAGAAATTATTCTTGCTATCCTTGTCAGAAGATTGACATCATTCCTGACAGCGAACAAGTACATCAACACCTCTGTCCAGAAGGGAGGAGTTCCCGGTTTCTCCGGTTGTGTAGAGCACACTAGCGTCATCTCCCAGCTCGTGCGCGAGGCGAAGGCAGGGAAGAAGGACATCACAGTAGTCTGACTCGATCTTGTCAACGCTTACGGTTCCATTCCCCACAAGCTTGTCTACACAGACCTCCATCACTATCATGTCCCCATCATCACCAACTATCTAGACGGGATCAGGCTCCGGTTCTCTGTTGGTAACCAGTTAACGGGCTGGCAGAAGTTAGAGAAAGGAATTGTCACAGGATGCACAATCTCCGTGGTACTCTTTGTCATGGGAATGAATCTGATGATCAACGCTGCCCCCAGAGAGACCCTTGGACCATAGGCGGATTCAGGGATACATTGACCCTTAGCAACCTTCCTTGGAAGTTCAAAGCCTGGCTATACCAGCACGCCCTACTACCAAGGCTAATCTGGCCAATGATGCTGTACAAGGTACCCAGCTCGACTGTAGAAGCTCTAGAGAGGATCACCAGCCGTCACCTGAGAAAATGGCTAGGATTTCCACCTAGTTTCTCCGGTGTAGGCCTGTATGGAGAGAGCAACCAGCTTCAACTCCCACTATCCTCGCTGGTCCTCATCCTGAGAGATTCCCCTGATGAGCAAATCCGTGAAGCAGGGATTGTTACCTGTACAGGCAAGAAGTGGTCAGCGACAGAAACTGTTAGCCAGGCGGAGAGCGTTCTCATGCACAAGGACATTGTGGGAATGACCGCTGTCGGACAAGGGATTGGTGAAACTAAGACACTTCTATGGAGCCGGGCAGCACAAGACGAGAGACGAGCCATGATACAGTCAGAAGTCAAGAGAACAGAAGAAAACAGAAGGCAGGCTAGAACGGTGGAGATGGGAGCACAACGAGCATGGACCACATGGGATACCATTAACAGAAAGTCGATCTGGGAGGACATCTGGAAGTACGAACCGTTGATGCTGTCCTTCTTCCTCGGGTCAGTCCACGATCTCCTACCATCCCCAGCTAACCTCTGCCTTTGGGGGCTGACAACAGACCCATCGTGCAAGCTCTGTAGCCGCCCTGGAACTCTAGAACATGTTCTGTCTTCCTGTTCCACATCACTGACACAAGGACGATACAGATGGCGTCATGATTAAAGTGCTCAGAGAGGTGGCTGACTGGCTGGAAGTAGAAAGGAAAAAGGAGCGGAAGAGTAACCCCAAACAGCATCACATCAACTTTGCGAAGCCGGCTGAAACCGCTAATTCACAGCCAAAACAGACGTCATCGATCCTAGATGACACCACAGGTTGGAACATGGAGGTGGACCTTGGAAAGAAGCATAGTGTGCTGCCCGTAAATCACTAATCCCGATCATTTAAATGAATTACGTAACATGGTATATTAAATATCTCATTCTCATTCACGTGAATAATTTTAGTATTATAACAATGATAAGTGTTTAGCACCATTCAACATTCGTCAAAATTTTCAAAAAAAAAAAAAAAAAAAAAATAAGAGCGCATGAGTGGCCTCTCGGTACAATTCATCATGTAAATATGTGCCTCTAGATAAGTTGCGTATGGTGTGGCCTTTTAATAGTTTTATATGATAAATGTGTGGCCTTATGAGACGTTTTTATGGGAAATGTGTCCTCTAGATAGATTTATTTCATAAATGTGTCCTCTAGATAGATTTATACCATAAATGTGTCGCATCAAAATAGATTTATACCATAAACGTGTGGCCTTTATCTAAAGATTAATACTGTAAATGTGTGGCCTCTGGATATATTTATAACATAAATGTGTGGCATCAAAATAGATTCATACTATAAACGTGTGGCCTTTATCTAAAGATTTATGCTGTAAATGTGTGGCATCTAGATACAAATTTATATGGCAAATGTGTGGCCTCTAGCTACAGATTTATACTGGAAATGTGTGGCCTCTAGATTTATACTGTAAATGTGTGGCCTCTAGCTACAGATTTATACTGTAAATGTGTGGCCTCTAGCTACAGATTTATACTGTAAATGTGTGGCCTCTAGCTAGATTTATATTGTAAATGTGTGGCCTCTAGATAGATTTATACTGTAAATGTGTGGCCTCTAGATACAGATTTATATTGTAAATGTGTGGCCTCTAGCTAGATTTATATTGTAAATGTGTGGCCTCTAGATACAGATCTATACTGTAAATGTGAGGCCTCTAGATAGATTTATACCTAAATGTGTGGCCTCTAGCTAGATTTATACCATAAATGTGTGTCCTCTAGCTATATTTATACTGTAAATGCGTGGCCTCCAGCTACAGATTTATACTGTAAATGCGTGGCCTCTAGCTACAGATTTATACTGTAAATGTGTGGCCTCTAGATACAGATTTTATACTGTAAATGTGTGGCCTCTAGATACAGATTTATATTGTAAATGTGTGGCCTCTAGCTAGATTTATATTGTAAATGTGTGGCCTCTAGATACAGATTTATACTGTAAATGTGAGGCCTCTAGATAGATTTATACCTAAATGTGTGGCCTCTAGATACAGATTTATACTGTAAATGTGTGGCCTCTAGATACAGATTTATACTGTAAATGTGTGGCCTCTAGCTACAGCTTTATACTGTAAATGTGTGGCCTCTAGATACAGATTAATACTGTAAATGTGTGGCCTCTAGATACAGATTTATACTGTAAATGTGTGGCCTCTAGATACAGATTTATACTGTAAATGTGTAGCCTCTAGATACAGATTTTTACTGTAAATGTGTGACCTCTAGATACAGATTTATGCTGTTAATGTGTGGCCTCTAGATACAGTTTTATACACTAAATGTGTGACAACTAGTTAGTCATATTCTGTTAATTTGTGGCCTCTAGATTAGCTTTGTATCACAAATGTGTGGCCTCTAGATAGTTTTATACAGTATTTTTTTGGCCTCATGAGACAGTTAACCTTAATGTATGGAAGTAATATGATTTTACACCTAATTGAATGGCATCAAGATTGAGCTCCTAGTGTATATGTATAACCATATAGACACTGATCACACTGTGTCCAAACTGACCAGTCCAAAGGGATATGTCAGGCTGTATAACAATCAGCATCACTAAAGTGATAGGTCAGTATACTGTTACCACATCAACAGATTTAGAACCAAAAATGTTGACCCTACATTTCTTGAAAATTATCTTCATATACATGTACACTATATATATCTTGTTAATTGGTTTTAAAAAAACCACTGAAATCAAACAATAGCCTTAATTTATAAACAAACAGGAATTTATTTACTAAACATTATGTGTACAACATTTCAATGGAACAAGAAAGTCTTTTTTATCTTATTGAAGATTCTTTACCAATCACTTTATTGAAATTGAAGACTTGGAATCTCCTCCATCTTCTCTACATCTTTTAAATGTATGAGTTGTATCATGACAAAAGTGAGGCTTTTTGGTGGATCATATATGTACTTAGTCAACAAACCTATAACTTGTTTAAACAGTGAATCCCATTTTTGTGGCCTCACTGATACAAATAAAGGGAATTACATTAAGGTACATATAAAGACATAAAGTGTATATATGTATTAATTGGTATGCAGCACTTTCAGTGGCAAGACATCAGCCATGCATTTGGTCAGTTCATTTTGTCAGGAACCAAAAAATTGGGGCACATCAAAAATATCAGTTTTGTCTTGACATGTTCTGATAGGAACTCTTTAATATGCACATGCAGGCAACATTATCTCTCTGTCAATCAATTACATTGTATGCATGACATAATGCTTTTATCTGAGTTTTTCCACCAATTTCTCATAGATATAACAATGAGAAGGTAAGAAGGAAAAGTTACATTTCAAAAAGCAAGAATCAATTTCTTTATATACAAAAAAACCCACTTTTAATTAGAAATTCTCTAAACATCACATTTAATTGATTGTATGAAAAATATTTCTTTTCAAACATATGAATTTTATAGACCCTATTTATATGTGAATCATTTGATATCAAATCTGAATCTTACAAATTTATGTTGGTCAAATGACCATATTTGTATCAATCACCAAAAAAATTAATACTACAGTAGAGTTCACCTTTACAAACATGCTTTCATCAACAAAAAATATTTCTTTGTTATGGAGAATTTAAAACGTAGCTGAAATGTTTATATTTCAAACAGCTACTTTAATTTAGACCTTTCACATAAACAGCTTACTATCTACATGTAAGTATTTTCAATCAAAGCTCTCAGCTCAGTTACATACACTGTAATACATATACAATCACATCTGGCACAAACATGGCCTAATAAAGATTTGTTTTCAAAACTCTTATGCACAAAAAAAAAAAAAAAAAAATTAAAAAAAATTCTGTAGCCATAATACATGTACATGTAGAAATGAATAAATAAATAAATATGCTTGCAATGATTATTTATAATAATCAGTGATGAGTGAGAAAAAAAAGGAAAAAATGCATACATTATGCCTATACCATCTTTCATATCCACATTTCTGTATAATTTTGCATCACTGCATCCAACCTTGCATTCAAATTTTAAAATAGAGAGTACAGTGCTCCAACAAACTAAAGTAACACCATAATAAATAACATGAACCAGGAGTGTAACGTAACTGAGACACATATCACAGTAACTAGCTAGTAAGATATAAATATATTACATAGCACCATGCTGCAGCGTAACACAGATGGGATTATACAATCTGTGCGTTTGATGACAAGAGATATTACAGACCAGCACATCCCTCCTGTCTGATCAGGAATATTGTAGTGGTGTATCTTACACAATCCCATCTTTATAACTTTAAACAACAATAAATTATCGACAGGTCCACTAGCATAATCTCATTATCGACACACAACTGTATCGCTCCTCTTGTCCATATCTGTATACAGTATAGATCTAACATCCATCCTCCATCTCATGAGACCTGCAGTCATATCACTATAGACATCCAATCACAGGACTGAAAGGAACACAGGAAGTTTAATTACATGAAATATTCAACAAGGAAGATCAATTAAACATATAAGTATGTGAGGAGTAAACTGATTCACCCTGTGAATCAAATAAATCTGCCAGTAATCACTGTACAAAAAATCGAAAAAAATTTATATCAAAGACAAAATATTATGCTCTTTAATTATCAAGGAACAATTTGAGTAGTTTTCACAAACAAAAGATAATAAAATTCTTGTTCTATACATGTACATCAGAATGGTATTCAGTTAATTTTAAACATTTAGCAATTTCAGTTGTCATATTATAAACTTAAACATCCAAACAATATCCTTTCAATCTCAAGCCATTTTGGGGAGATAAAAGTTTGGCATTGCTCTGTGTATAATTAACCGCCTCTATACAGGTTTCCATGCTACTGGGTTAGCAGACATGGCCCCAACAAGTTTGGGATGCTTCAGTGGAGGCGTGTGATGTTTACCGACGAGTCTAGATTCTGTCTGTATCACTCCAACAGAAGAAAAGGGTATAGTGCAAACATGGTGAGCATTTCATTGACGCATGTGTGGCTGAATGTGATAGATTCAGCGGGGCTTCTGTAATGGTTTAGGGAGGCATCTCCCATGGAGTGAAATTCCCTTTTAGTGGTCCTGGATCAAAACCTCAATGCCATTTGATACAGAGACCAGATAATACAACCACGTGTCTTTCCACTACTCAGACGTCATAACCTAATTTTCCAGCAAGACCATGCTCAATCGCATGCTGCCAGGGTATGATGTGACTTTCTCATGGCAAACAATGTTCAGCCTCAGGAATGACCCTCATATAGCCCTGTCATGTCTCCCATTGAGCATCTGTGGGATGAACGGGACTGGCCTTTTAAGAGACATCAAAACCCTCCAACCAACATGCCCAGTTGATCGTAGCATTAACACAAGAATGGAACAACATTCCCTGAAGGTGAATTAATGTTCTCATGAATTCAATGCATAAGAGAATCTGTGCAGGGATTCGTGCTAGAAGTGACCTTACCGGATATCCCACTGTGATTAATTACTGACAACACTAGTGACATCACACAAACTTTTCTTCTACAGTATTGTAAGGAGTAGATTTGTCTCTTCACATTGATATAAAATTTTGTACAAATTTCCTAAAATATCAAAGGTTACTGATTGCATAATTTAATTGTGCATTTTATTTTTTTGTTGAATATACTTATTCACCTTGCATGACATGAGCAGGTTCTGAGTGCCGAGATCCTGTACAACTGCAAAGATTGCCTGACCCTCACAAACTGCTGTGTGACCTGTCATTCCCTCCTCTAACAGGTGCTTCACATGTGCCAAAGTTAGACAGTCTTCCTACCAAAAGAATGAAAAAAAATTGTAAAATTGTCTATATCCAACCAGTACAGGAACACGGACTGACCAATCTCTAAAGTTGTAACATCAGAACATAAGGGCTTGGATCTATGGTTCACAGGATAACTTTGATTGAAATTAAAAACTTAACAGAAAAGTGATGTGTTGTACACTTAAGTAATATTGTCAATGTTTGTTTTTTAATGAATTTACCTCTGTATTTACTCTCATTCCACACCGACAAAATATCACAGATTTGTTGATCAATAAAGGACTCCTGTAAAGAATATAATAAAAAGTGCATTCATATATCACTATAACAAATTCCTAAAAAAACCGACATTTCCTTATATTATAAACATTTTCTGAACAATGTGTACCCATTACTGGTGTGTATGAGATACTGTTTTGCTACATATAGTACAGTTTTTACATAGTCAGCACAGTTGACCCACTATAGTCCAAGTGTTTACAAATATGGAGAAGGGATTTTTCAGATCAGGAGAAACATAATACTAATGTGACTAATTTAACTAGAACTGTCATCCGGGGGCTATCTCTTGACACCACTCATCGCCCACCCCCCACCTTTCCACCCCCACTCCCCCAACTACCAGCTGCCAACAGAGTGATTGGTAAAATAATAAAATATATGGTATTCAATTTTGGTGACATGGGATATGGATTCTATGCAAATAGAACCTTGATGCCAGATGTAGATGTTTCTACAAATATTCAGAGAGTCAATACACATGTATTGTGGGTCACAATCACTGCAATGAACCATTTGATTTGACAGACTTTCCAAAATTCATTGGTAACATGGTAGTAAGTAAGTGTTGAAAATATTTTGTATATATATTGTAGTGTCAATGTTTATAGAAGGTATACTTCTGACAAACAGGACATATCACTTCATCTGTACACAGCTCTTCAATAGCACTACACAAAAAGGCCTCTTCTTCCTTCAAACTGGATTCATATCTTTCAAATTCTTCAATCAATTTCAGCTCTGAAAATAAAAACAGCAGAAAATAAACGGCATGCTGGATGAACCTGCAAATATCAAAAAAAATAATCACGTACCATCAAAAAAAAGATTTTATAGAGTGTGACTTATGATCTGAAGTAAAAGTTTTAGGAAATATCAGATTCAGAAATATTCTTAGGAGAGCTGGCAAAGAAATAAAAGTCAATGAGAAACAACATATAAAAAGTAAGCAGATGGCTAAGTTATAATTCTGAGTACTGTAAATATTATACAAAAAAATATCCTTAAAATAAATACTTATAAATACGATTGAAGGGACACACACGGGGGTAAGACTAATAAAATCTAAGTATCATTGAATATCAAAAATATTGGATGATAAAGTTAGCAACCTCATTTAGGGATGTATTTCTAAACATATTAAAGTCTGAGATAGAACACAAGCTTCAGACAGGTATAAATCTACCGTGATTCTAAATTGATTGAATAAATTGAATACAGGTGGACTTTATAAATCCAGCATACTCATCACTTGTCAACTTTCTTAAGGAGACTAATTACTGTTGATACCTTCTATTTTGAGCTCTGCTTGTATGTCTTCAAACAAGGACAGCACATCATCAATGTCTGTAGCCAGGTCTCCCATGTCAAAGTCGTCAACCTACAATAGTGATCTTACAAAGATAGCATTTATTATCATCATAGTTTATAAAGTGTACACCAACAAAACTTTCCTCTAGATCTCTCAACTTTAAATCTTTGAGACATACACTTTAGTACTACAGTTTTAGCTACAGCATCATCAGTCAAAGAAATGTTTCATTTATTTACTGACAATCAAAATAATAACTATCAAGTTATTAATTTAACGAGGCTGGGATCTTGATGCCCACCAACCGTAGTTGTTATTCAAAACTTGGATATTTTACTTTCCTTTCTATCTCTTTTCCCTGATTTTTGCTCCTACTTATGCTCTCTGATCAGTAAAAAGATAAAAAGGGCACAACTAGGGATCATTTGGAACCTACATACAAAATTTAGCAAAATATCCAAGTTTTAAATAACATTTAGTATTTCTCAAGAAATTACAACAACAATAATTGTTAACAGATAGACAGACGGACGGACGGACCACTAATAAAGGGCAATTTGAATAACCCACCACCTGATAATGGTGGTAAAAATAATTGCTAAGACAGAACCATGCATTTACTTGTCTTCTGTGCTAGCAAGTTTCAACTATAGCTTGTAGCTCTGATTATGTTATTCTCTACCAATTTATGGAAATTCCAGTTAAGCCAAACCAAAGTCTTCAGTTTTGTTAATTCATTTAAATGGACACACATATGTTTGCCCGTCCAATGCTTAAGTATATTGTAAAGCAAGATACTACAGTGAGCACAGTATGTGTATTTTCTTTGAATTGATGCATTTTAAAATGAGTGAAGTTGCAACATCAACTTGTTGTAAGGACAAAACACACATGAGGTTGTCATTAAGTTTGACATGTTACAGCTAAATGGTCCATAGATATTGTAATATGCAACACCTAATCCTTGCCTCAGCTGATTTACATGCAGGCTGCTTCAACGACTCTTTCAGGCCTTGTAGTTCCTCTTTCATCAGATCACTGATAAACGTGTCATCTTCAACTTTGTCCGAGTCTACATCCCCTAACTTTCTAAATTTGGCCTGTAGTTTTTCTCGACTTTGTCTCAACCTGTCCAGGCACCTCTGTAATCATCAGACAGTACATGTTTATTCATCTTTAATGTTATAAACAAGAAGATTTCTTTATCAAAGTTAAATTCTGTAATGAGATAAGCAATGTATCTTACAATTAATTATTAAGTCAGTACAACAAGCTAATAAGTCAACAAAAATAAAAGAGAACAAAACACAAAACCTGGAAGTCCACAGTAAGCTACATTATTCTTGCTGAGAATGAACGAACTGAGACGGGTTATCTCACAGTATTTTCAGTATAGAAGTATGGTTTATATATATACTATTAACACATAAAGTGTATCTTAGATACATGTACAACCATATGTATGTAGCCAGGATGTTATAGTTATCCATAAGAAAACTAAATGATTCATCATATACATGCATGACACAAAAGTTAAAGATTATTACAAACAAAATATTCAACTTTTGTACTAAGTCACATAAAAAGTGAATCAATATTTTGGAACATTTTCTTAGGGTTTTTAATGTTATTAGAATAGAAGTTATTATAATAGAAGAATTGAGTGTTTCGATGACTACAAGGTCACCATCATCAGACAAATGATCAGCGTGGAATGTACTAGCACTGACATATGTAGTGTACAAGATGGTAAGGAATCTACCAAATTTCCATCTGTACTACATATATGATGTACACTCAGGTAGAAAATAAGCGTGATGAAATGCTAAACAGATTACCGACCGCAAAATACACAAAATGGTAGCAATATACTGTAGTAAATTCAGCAATATGTATACTCTTTGTTTAACATGTTGTCATACATGTGCAAAATTGTGGTAACACACCTGTCTGTACTTTTCCTTCCATGGAGGGGTTTTAGCTTTGTACATTTCACGATGATTTCTGGAAACCTTCTGTGCTGGGCTCGACATTATCAACTGTACTTGAAAATCTGTATTGAGAAGCAAAACATTACAAGTCATTCAGTTAATTTATCATGGATATGACTACAGGTTTAAATATATGTGGATAGAATTTTTCTTCTTTTAGTGGTTTTACCATTTTAGGTGTGCAAATATTAAGATAAATGAAACAAAATAAAATTAAATGACAAATATCAATCCAATCTAATTTTTGGGCAAAAATACCATAAATTTTTTAAATAGTGGGAGCGGCTGGGGGATGGGGGAGGGGATTTCTCTCCAGTGATCAAAGTCATCAAGATTGAGTGAATTTGTCACTGGTGGTGTTTGTTACTAATGTGTTATCATTAAAGTGATTATAAGAGATGTAACAAAATAATTTATTTTAGTATTTAATTATTTAGATAAAATCCTATGCTTCAAAACTCCTGGGAACAACTTCAATAAACTCTGTGGGTGTTTTGTGTGAAATATTGATATTAAATGGAATGCTAGACTCTTCTTTTATTTATGTAAATTATTGTGAATGGATACTTGTTTGGGCTGTTTAAAGTGACATCACTGTGATTATTATTCTTTTATATCATTACATATATATTTATCAAGTGTTATGAGTTTTTTTTTCTGAAACATGCACATTTTAATTAATAATTATAAAATGGTAATTTCTCGTAGTTGATATACAGAGAGGTCATGTCAAATTTTGTATCATACATTCTGTATATGATACTACATGCACAAGGTACACATCACCTGTAAACAAAATGTCCCACAAGATAAAAGTCGTGATCGAGAAAGGTTAAAGCATCAGTCATAAAGCAAAAGATGACCAAAAGGGCAAACAATAGCCCCAGAATTTTGCTAGGGGAGCATTATGGCACATGTGAACTGTTTAAACAAGCAAAATATTGCCCAGCTGTGTATATTCTTTTGGATTGCTGATGTGTTAACCATCAAAATATAGTTATTTTGTTATCACTAAGGCTTTTTTGGCATGTTATGCATCTATCTGTTAAATTATGTTTTTTAATATACTGAAGACTGTGTTAATGCTAATGGTGTGTACAACATACAAAGGAGAGGGATGGGAGGATATCAAGCAGAAGTTAGGAGGTTGGATTTGAGATTTTCAGAGGATTAGATGTGACAAGATCTAGATCTAGTGAAAGTTTGTTACATTTAATATCTGGGATACATATTGTTCTAAGGAAAGAGTATTCATGGCAGTCATGCAATTTTAAAATAGATGGACAGACATATAGATATGTTAATGTACACATTGAATCAAATGTTGGATTTCCTTAGTCATAATCTAAGGATTGATAATAACACCAAAGGAAATGTATGCAAGGCTCTTGTCAGATCAAGTCTTGAATATTGTGCCACAGTAAGGTCACTATATACAGTGGAAAACCAGGACAAATTAGAACGAATACAGAAAAGAGCAGTTTGCTACATTACCTACAGACACCCATAATATCTAGCAGGGCTCTCGATCTGCTGCCAGATTTGGGGCTGATATTCAGCCCCATTCCCAATGCAAAATAGTATCTTTTTTTTTCCCAATTTAGAGCCCAAGTTTTCCCAATTCTAAGGAAAACACCCATTATTTTTCCCAGTTCTAAGGGCCCCAGGCCCCAGTCCCAAAATGGGGTGTGAGAGCCCTGTCTAGAGTGTGGCCGATGCTACTGTTATAACATCCAAACCTTGAATCCCTCAAAAAAACGTAAAAATAGCATGAGACTAATTGTTATTCATGCAATTCAGTTGCAATAATCCACTTTCTATGATGTCTTATGATCAAGTCACCTCAACTGGTTCTACCTATCCCTGTCAATACCAACATTTCCAAACTAAAGCAGATTACTATAAATACAGCTTCTTTTCATTTACAATATCACCTTGGAATTCTATCCCACCAGACATGGTATCTTCAGAGTCCCTAAACAGATTCAAGCATAAACTTAGGGACTCCACAAAAGTCTGTTAATGAACAACCTTTGTTTTAACTCTGTGTCTTTTTATTTCTTTGTATCAACCTTTTAAACACCTATTTTATTTTATACTGATTAGTGTATTAACACATCAATTTTGATGAACACAACATAAATGTAGATGTCCAGCAGCTTTTGTTGGGTTCAGGTTCAGGAGTAATTTTCTAACTCTGTCTTTTGTTGTGTGGTTACTAAGGATGGAATAATAATTGTGTCACATTAAATTCCTGATATAATTGTTCTCGAGTGATTGTGGTAGCTTTTGAAAAGACAGATTGGAAGTGTCTGTTTTGCACTACAGATATGGACAGTCACTTACTAGTACCATTCAGTTTTCCAGTAGTAAAAATTAAAAATAATATATGCCATAGGCGATGACCACTGTTTTGTTTTGTTTTTGTTTTGTGGGTGGGGGCGGGCTTTTTTGTTTCAATTTTATTAAGAGGGGAAGGTAGGTAACATTTCCTTCAATATTATCAACTTCCAGTTGACGTATTTGTTTTTGGAATGGATGTTTTAGTTTGGATTCCGAGATCTGGGCGACCTGGCCGAGCCTGGGATTTCCCGGAAAACTTATCCTTAGTGGTCACGCTGAGCATTGAAAATATTAATTATTAATGAATGGCAAAACCGCCCACTTGTTGAAGATTGTCATTATCTATAGAAGTATAATATCGAGGTATAGTATACATAATGTAGAAACATAACTTGAAGTGAAGGCACGTACAATCAATAACAATTAAATGTTTTTACATAGATGTTGCTTACATTTTACAAATAAAAGCAGGGGTATATCTTCAGTCAGTCTATTATACTACTAAAAAGGCAGGAATAATATAAATATATAATATACACACTTTATTCACTCCACGTTTCCTTACCTGTCACAATTTAGACCCGAACTCTTTCGCGCGTTCCTTGCGACAGCATTGTATTCTCGGTCAGCAAGACTCTTCCTTTCAACGCACAAGTAAGATTACAACGTGATAAAGCATCTTGTTGAGCCAGACTATAGCTCATCGAGAAAACAATCAGAGTTATTTCCCTTATGCTCCACAAAAATTTCGACGTATTACACAAAGCTTAAGTCACATTGGCCGGTGACATGTTTACCATCGTAAGACATGTGGGCAGTAAATGCCACAATTGTCACATCGGTAGGTTGTTTAATTATCGACGTATGCTTAGTTAGAGGTTTTGTCGATCCATACTCCTTTACGTGCGTTTATGCGTTCAGATGAACGGTATGTCGGATAATGTCCTAACGTTGTGCCGGTAGTCCGCCTAAGAAAAGCCTCTCAAACGTACATGTATCATATACAACATTAATTAATGCCATGATGCAATTAGTAAATAATTCACAAAGTAACACTGGACATATGTTATAAATAAACAACAGGAAGCCACATATTTTTATTGGCAAGAATTGAAGACGAGACATGTTAACAAACCTTGATATCTAACACTGCATTATATAATTCTTTATCACTCGCATACATTGGTACAAATAAACCTTGGTGCGAAAATATATATTTATCAGTTGCATCAAAGATAGTCACAGAACCCTTCAGACTAACTGACACGTGTATGAATTTGACACAAGTTAGTGATTTTTCTTGACTTGCTTATTTCAAAGGTGTCCTTGTGATCTGACCCTAGTTTCTCAGGTTCATCTGGAAATAGACATGTTCTATTTTATTGTGAAATAATGATAATTCTTAGAAGTACTGAAGACTGGATATCAGAGGGATTTACATAAAAAGCAGCAGTCTCTGAGTCTATAGTATTCTGGCTTATAGTCTGCTACTAGTAACCCAAAGGGGAGGGGGTAAAGTTTTCCTCTGTCTGTCCATTCCTGCATCTGTAAACGTTTGTCAATGTTCTAGTGTTTTCGATTCATTCCTCGATTGATTCAAACTCTCTACACACTTGTAAAGAGTCACAATATCATCAGACTTGTTTAGGTTTCAGGGTTTTTCGGTCAAGGTCATTGTTACTATATTTGGAAGATCAATGTCAGTGCTGTAGCATCCTCCTTCTAGCTTTAGGGATTCTATCAACTTTAATGCTCTTGTAAAGCATCAGTTATCTTGGACAAGTTAAAGTTTCTGGATTGTTGAGTCAAGGTCAAGATCGCTGTTACTATTTCCAGAAAATTTGTTTATCATTACATTGTAATAGTGAGGGCTGGTAGGGGACAGGTATTGTTTAAACAATACTCGGTATGCTTTGTTTTTTATTTTTTCATACAACACTGACAACTTTTGATGCTAGTTATTTTGCATCTACAATTCTTCCAAAAAAAACCCACACATGAACAAATATATCCTTCAAATGTCATTAATTTTTTATTAAATCTCGAATAGATATTATAATATAAAAACAACAATTTAAGCAGCTGTTATTGGTATACATAAATCTTGATACAATGTTGTTATTCATGTTGATTCGTAGAGTTTACTTCAGATGGTACTTGTGAACATGCAAAAATAAGGCCAAACAAAAAATATTTCCTGTTTCTGTTAAGGATGTACTCTTCTGATGTTTTGACCGGAAAAAAAAAATTCACTATAAAATGAATTCCAACATGATGTCTTGAATTTTTTTTAATAGCGTCAACAATATCAACATTTTATGGATGCTAAGGTATTTCTCTTGAGTTTAACTATGGAAATCTTGGGTATATTTTAATTAAAATTAACATGAATTATCACCACAAATCACTTATTTCAAATTTGTGAATTCTGAGTTGGTGATTCACTTTCCCAGAAATCTCAAGAAAAGTTTGATACTATTTTATACTACTTTTTGGTTGCTATGCAGTTTAAAGTTCATTAAGCAAATGAAAACAATGCATTTTTTGCATAATTTTTTATTTAATACCAAGTATCCAAGTATCATACCCATATCTTGTAATGAAAGACAAAATTTTATTTGAAAAATGGTGAAAGAATGACATGTGAAAATGAATTATTTCCTGTTATACACATTTTAATGCTTGTGCTGGAAAAAGTTGTGCAGCAACATAGTGATTTTTTACTTTTCAGCTACCTTCTAAGATCAACCATTTGATAAAATCATCAAGGAAAAAGTTTAATACTGGATTTTTATTACTTCTTAGAGGAGTACATAATTAATGCTGCCTCCCTTATATTTTGATATGCCTACACAAAATAATTGAAGACAATATTCAAAGAAGCACTACCAAAATCAAGCTCATTCACCTAAATAAATCATTACAGATACATTTTTAAGATAAAAAATTTTGCCTTCCCATCTTCCCTCAAAGTGTTACAGGAAACATGTATTTTTTTTTTTGTTTGGCCTTGCCCTGCAACCTGCATAAGGCTCAGGATGTTTATTTGATTTAGTCTGATAATGTCAAGTTACTAAATTCATAATTTGATGTCTGTTTAAAATATGTCAACAAAATTATATATTCAATAAAAACACATTATTTAGATGTAATTCATTTCAGAGGATTTACGATATTCATTTCATGTTTGAAATAATTTCAGAAATTATTGGTGGCCTCCAGATGACTCAGATGGCTGCTTATAAAAATCTCATTCTACCAAAACCAAAAGGTATGATCCTACTATGTTAAATATTAATTGCTATGTTAGTGGTCAATGAACTTTTAGTGATAGATAATTATGTCAGAGAAACATGTAAGATAAAAATGTGTTTATTTGGTTAGTAGTATTTCGTCGCTTCTACACAGTTGAGTTCCTGAATATCAGTAGGTGAAATGATAAACTATTATTTTTCATCAAAGAGATATATTGGTTCTGTCACGGATGGTCAAAGTCTGTGGTTCTATGATGTTATGTATTGATTATAAGTTTACATTGATAATCAGATGATTTCTCTTGCCAGACTAGCAGTTATCTTCAGGTTGTTTTTTTTAAGTTGAATGTTGTCCAAAATGTACTACAATGTTCCAATAAGGTAGTGAACTCCAATTACTGTGAATAGATTCCATTTCTTACCAAGAACTTAATATATTACATGTCGTTTATGAGTTTTGAATAAAAAACGTTAAGTCAGCTTGTCTGGCCATTCAGAGTCCATCCATTGTTCTGTTAATTTTTCCATGCTATATCCTTGTGTAGGTGTATCATAAATTGTTCCATCGGCCTCAGTCGCTACTACTATTATATTAACCTTTATATACAGATAACTGATACTATAAGGCCCATAGGCCTCTTATTATAAGGGGTGATGATGAGAGTTCTTCGTTTTGTGTATGTGTATTGAGCTTGAAGAATATGAAGAGGTGAAAATGGACAGCTTGTTTTTCTTTTCATCTGCTTAGCTCCATGGTTAACATAATATATCATCATTTCGTACATTTTTTTCCTTTAGAAATTGATTTGCCAGAAAATCCTAAACTTCGTCGTTTGGGAATGCTGGATAAGACCCCACAATTTGTCCAAGATAATGTGCAAGTTGGTGCTTTCAAAATCCGGAGGCCATCAAAAGACCTGTCGTTGATACGAGGGCCCGAACTTGTCCATAACAAATTGCAGTATGGACATATAGGAATTCAGGTAAGATTGCAGTTTCTAGATAAGGAGCATATACCAAAGTACTATAAGTCAATATGATATTATCATTGATGCATTTGTTATATAATTTATTTCTTTTAATAAAATATGTATTTTTCTGAAATATTTTTATTTATCTTATTTGAAGGTCAGAATTGGAATGTAGTAGGAAAAATAAGAGATTTTCTATGAAACTGAAGATCAATTGAAATTTACTTCAACAAAATTTTTCCTCATTTTGATTACAAAAGTATACAATAAATATCACCATGGCATTCAAAAAATAGATACATGTATATCATAAACTAAAATCGCACATTTATTGATAAAAGTTGCTAACATTGTCAAGGTTATTAGCAAATGGAATTAAAAAACATGTTAATCTATGAATCTGCATGATCTTATTGGGGAGTCATACAGAAGGAACTTGAGCTTTCCTAAATGCAGTAGTGATTTTTTTTCACTTATCTATTATTTAGAGTTGTCAGTGGAGTGTCAACATGTTTTATGAACAGTTTTGTTTCTTTTTTTTTTTTTTTTTTGTCGATATATCATTACATTTGTTTTTTTTTTTTTTTTTAAATTTTTTTATTTTTGTGTTTTTTTGAACAAAATCAATAGATTTAGACAATGATCTAGGGATATTTTTGGAAAATAAAAAGAAGACATTTCGTACACATGAAAGTCACATGCAAATTTCTTAATATTGTTTGAATTATCTCCCTTGGCATGTGTTTGTCAGAAACCCCACTAGCATGCACCTCTCACCAATAATTGTAAAAGACCCTTATACATTGTATGTGAAATGCCCTGTTGGATGCATGAATATCAATTTATGTAATAGAAGTTCTGACTCTAGATTTTAATGTTTTACTCTTTAAATAGGAGATGGATCACAAAATATTAAATATTGCTATTCAATGTAAATTCTGTGTTGATTTATCCCCCACCCATCTCCCCCCATCCCACCTCCTCTCTTAAAAGGACTACAGTAACTATTAGCTGTTAGGGTACTGCAAATTCTTCCAAAATAATAAATATAAGTGTGTAGTCAGGTCTTCTGTTAGAAGTAGTCTGAATTAATCTGACATTTGTCTGTTGCTCCAACACTTGATGACCAATATCCATGTACAAAGTCAATAGAACATCTTTTTAATTTTAGTTGTCTGTAACTCTTATGCTCATTTATGATGACAGAGATAATGTGTATAAAATACTGATATGTATCAAATAAATAATATTTATCTTGCTGATGGTTATATTAAGCTTTGTGTTTTTTGCAGGCTCTTCATGGAGGTTACCTTGTTTACAATCACATGAACAGCATACGAATCATATTGAATCGTCATATTGATGATAAAAAGATGTTTGCAATATGGAGGGTGGAATTTCCATGGCGACCAATCACAAAAAAGGCTGCAAGCGTCCGTATGGGAGCTGGAAAAGGTGCCATTAAAGACTTTTCCTCCCCTATCAAGGCAAACAGAATATTGTTTGAGATTGGTGGAGATATTGAGTTACCAAAAATCAGACGTATCCTCAAACAACTTTCTACACAGACGCCAATGAAGTCACGTGTTGTAACTGCTGAGATGCTAGAAAGAGAGGCAGAACAGGAGGAGAAACTCGAAAGAACTAATGTTAACCCTTTCAGTTTTAGTGATTGTGCTAGAAAAAATTATATGGGTATAAAAAAGGAAATGAGTCCTTATGATTTTGTCTGGCATGGCAAGTATAAGTAGTGAGTGTATGTCTACACTTACTGGTCATGGCTGAGTGTGTATTAAATGTACTTTAGTGTAACTGTTTATGTAAATGAAATTAAAGACTTGTTGACTAAATAGTTATCAAGATTACTTGTTATTACAATGTGTTATTCTTTTTTAGTCCACCATCATCAGATTGGTTACCATTATTCCTTGTGAACTACTCTATAGATCGTTCTCTATTTTCTTGTACAGGTTCCTTTAGATCTCTTGTTTTGCCTGTTTGAGTTTTGGACTGATCAGAAACAACAAAATGGCCCACAAGTGGCCATCTTGGATTTTGACTTTGAAAGTTTGTTATCACTATTTCGTGAGAAGCACAAGATAGATCTTTCTAAAATTTCACTCGTAGGTTTCCCTTGGTCCCCAGTTGTGCCAGTTTTATTTTGAAACTGATCAGAAAATCAAAAGGCCAACAGACAGCCATTTTGGATTTTGACTTTGAAAGTTGTTATTGCTAGTTCTTGAGTATTACAGCATAGGTCTTTTTTCAAATTTCATGTGTATGCTTTCCTTTATCACTAGTTGTGCCTGTTTGATTTTGATACTGATCAGAAAAAAACAAAATGGCCCACAAGCAGACATCTTGGATTTTGACTTTGAAAGTTTGTTACCATTAATTTCTTGAAAACTGCTCTATAGATCTTTATCAAATTTCTTGTATAGGTTCCTTGAGATCTCTAGTTGTGCCTGTTTGAGTTTGGGACTGATCAGAAAAAACAAAATAGCCAAAAGGCAGCCATCTTGGATTTTGCCGAGTAAAGATTGTTATTGCTATTTCTTAAGAAGTACTGAATGGGTATCTCTCAAATTTCATATGTATGTTCCCTTTGGTCTCTCCTTTTGCTTGTTTGATTTTGGGACTGATCTGAAGAAACAAAATGTCTTTCAGACGGCCAGTTTGGACTTGGCAGGTTAAGATTATCATTGCTGTTTCTGCAAAGGAATGTTTGAATGTCTTATTATTAAGAGCAAAACAGAGAAGGGAAAAGATCCAATATTCAAAGAGCATATAAAGATCAAGTAATGGTGGACGCAAGGTCCATCTGGGATCTCTTGTATCACATTACCTAAGACAAAGCCTCACATTGACCTGCTGCTATTGTCTTTTGTACGCAGTATTATGCATCCATAAACTCCTAATATTTTAAAACTAGTTCTCAATAATCCCTGAACTGATTTCAAGGAATTTTGGCAGAAACTTCCCCTGATGAAAGATGAATAAAAATTGTGAACTGAATTTTCTCCACCCACAAGAAGCTTGAGAGGCAGGGCCAGAAGGGGTCATATCAAATCATAGTTCAAAAATCTTTTTCACAATGCCCAAATATTTTAGAATCAAATGCTTTTCATGAATGGAATAATATTAAGTTGCTTTACTGAAATTCGGAGTTCTTTAACCCCAGGGTCTCACATTTCTCCCTAGGGAGGAGGGAAATTTTACTATCAATTATATAGGAAAATTACTTTTTTTGAGCATTTATCGTTTCATTTCTATTGGAAATATTTCAAACTTGATAAGAAGTATTAGCGTAGGATGACTGCCTGTTGATATGTACACATTGATCCTGGGTGACCCCCAGGGGATGACAGGTAGGGTCAAAAGGGGTCTTATTGACTCAAATATGAAAATAAATACCAGGTATGGTAGAATCAAATGCTCCTCATTGATGGAAGTGTCTTATGGTGCTTTACCAAGATTGTAAATTGTATGACCCTAGTAGTGTCACACAATTTTCCTGGGGATGGGTGGGGGAGTAAATTTAATGCCAGGGTTTTTTTAGAGGGGGATTACAATTTTGAGCATGATTTTCATAAGTAAATGATGACAGCTTGATTGATGCATACAATGATTTCTCTGACCTGCATTGGCTGATGGATGGGAAATTGGCTGAAATTTCAAAAAATCATCTTTTGCCCTTGGTGAAAATAAAACCCAAATATGAAACAGTCAAATGATCTTTATAGATGAGTGGGTCATTAGGTGCTTTACCAAAATTGTGAATCCTTAGATTGCCTTTGGCAGGGAGTGAAGTTTACTGTCAGCTTATGTAGGAAACAGCATTACCTTTCTTATGTTTCATATTGTTACATAAAACAATGTTACAAACATAGGTATCACAATTTATTGCATAACACTAGAAAAATACTTAACACAGCATTCTTTAAATTCAATTTTGCTTTCATCGCATGACTGTCAGGGATGATAGGCCTCTAGGTTTACTTCATTCTAACAATGAATTTTGATGGTAACAAACAGTGGTATAAATAGCTATTCCATTAGTGATGCTATGTACAGCAACCATGTCTAAACTATTGACTCAAAATTAAAAACAGTGTTCAGTTATTGTGTAGTTGATTGGTTCCCTGTATTGAAGACTGTTTCCTGACATTTAATTACAATGTTATAGACAGGTTGTTTACCTTTAGTTACACTGTTATAGACAGGTTCTTTGCCTTTAGTTACACTATTCTAGACAGGTTCTTTGCCTTTAGTTACACTGTTATAGACAGGTTCTTCGCCTTTAGTTACACTATTCTAGACAGGTTCTTTGCCTTTAGTTACACTGTTATGGACATGTTCTTTGTCTTTAGTTACACTGTTATAGACAGGTTTTTTGTCTTTATTTACACTGTTATAGACAGGTTCTTTGCCTTTAGTTACACTGTTATAGACATGTTCTTTGCCTTTAGTTACACTGTTATAGACAGGTTCTTTGCCTGTAGTTACACTGTTATAGACATGCTCTTTGCCTTTATTTACACTGTTATAGACAGGTTCTTTGCCTTTAGTTACACTGTTATAGACAGGTTCTTTGCCTTTAGTTACACTGTTATAGACAGGTTCTTTGCCTTTAGTTACACTGTTCTAGACAGGTTCTTTGCCTTTATTTACACTGTTATAGACAGGTTCTTTGTCTTTAGTTACACTGTTATAGACAGGTTCTTTGCCTTTAGTTACACTGTTATAGACAGGTTCTTTACCTTTAGTTACACTGTTATAGGCAGGTTTTTTGTCTTTATTTACACTGTTATAGACAGGTTCTTTGCCTTTAGTTACACTGTTATAGACATGTTCTTTGCCTTTAGTTACACTGTTATAGACAGGTTCTTTGCCTGTAGTTACACTGTTATAGACATGCTCTTTGCCTTTATTTACACTGTTATAGACAGGTTCTTTGCCTTTAGTTACACTGTTATAGACAGGTTCTTTGCCTTTAGTTACACTGTTATAGACATGTTCTTTACCTTTAGTTACACTGTTATAGACATGTTCTTTGCCTTTAGTTACACTGTTATAGACAGGTTCTTTGCCTTTAGTTACACTGTTATAGACAGGTTCTTTGCCTTTAGTTACACTGTTCTAGACAGGTTCTTTGCCTTTATTTACACTGTTATAGACAGGTTTTTTGTCTTTAGTTACACTGTTATAGACAGGTTCTTTGCCTTTAGTTACACTGTTATAGACAGGTTCTTTGCCTGTAGTTACACTGTTATAGACAGGTTCTTTGCCTTTAGTTACACTGTTATAGACAGGTTCTTTGCCTTAAGTTACACTGTTATAGACAGGTTCTTTGTCTTTAGTTACACTGTTATAGACAGGTTCCTTGCCTGTAGTTACACTGTTATAGACAGGTTCTTTGTCTTTAGTTACACTGTTATAGACAGGTTCTTTGCCTTTAGTTACACTGTTATAGACAGGTTCTTTGCCTTTAGTTACACTGTTATAGACAGGTTCTTTGCCTTTAGTTACACTGTTCTAGACAGGTTCTTTGCCTTTAGTTACACTGTTATAGACATGTTCTTTACTTTTAGTTACACTGATAGACATGTTCTTTACTTTAGTTACACTGTTATAGTTTTTTAGCCTTTACACTGTTATAGACAGGTTCTTTGCCTTTAGTTACACTGTTATAGACAGGTTCTTTACCTTTAGTTACACTGTTATAGACAGGTTCTTTGCCTTTTACACTGTTATAGACAGGTTCTTTGCCTTTAGTTACAATGTTATAGACAGGTTCTTTGCCTTTAGTTACACTTTTATAGACAGGTGCTTTGCCTTTAGCTACACTGTTATAGACAGGTTCTTTGCCTTTAGTTACACTGTCATAGACAGGTTCTTTGCCTTTAGTTACACTGTTATAGACAGGTTCTTTACCTTTAGTTACACTGTTATAGACAGGTTCTTTGCCCTAAGTTACACTGTCATAGACAGGTTCTTTGCCTTTAGTTACACTGTTATAGACAGGTTCTTTGCCTTTAGTTACACTGTTATAGACAGGTTCTTTGCCTTTAGTTACAGACAGGTTCTGCCTTTATTACACTGTTACAGGTTCTTTGCCTTTAGTTACACTGTTATAGACAGGTTCTTTGCCTTTAGTTACACTGTTATAGACAGGTTCTTTGCCTTTAGTTACACTGTTATAGACAGGTTCTTTGCCTTTAGTTACACTGTTATAGACAGGTTCTTTGCCTTTAGTTACACTGTTATAGACAGGTTCTTTGCCTTTAGTTACACTGTTATAGACAGGTTCTTTGCCTTTAGTTACACTGTTATAGACAGGTTCTTTGCCTTTAGTTACACTGTTATATTCTTTTGCCTTTAGTTACACTGTTATAGACAGGTTCTTTGCCTTTAGTTACACTGTTCTAGACAGGTTCTTTGCCTTTAGTTACACTGTTATAGACAGGTTCTTTGCCTTTAGTTACACTGTTATAGACAGGTTCTTTGCCTTAAGTTACACTGTTATAGACAGGTTCTTTGTCTTTAGTTACACTGTTATAGACAGGTTCTTTGCCTTTAGTTACACTGTTATAGACAGGTTCTTTGCCTTTAGTTACACTGTTATAGACAGGTTCTTTGCCTTTAGTTACAATGTTATAGACTGGTTCTTTATAGACGGTTTTGCCTTTAGTTACACTGTTATAGACAGGTTCTTTGCCTTTAGTTACACTGTTATATGACAGGTTATTTTGCCTTTAGTTACACTGTTATAGACTGGTTTTTGCCTTTAGTTACACTGTTATAGACTGTTTTTGCCTTAGTTACACTAATAGACTAATTTCCTGCCTTAGTTACACTTTTGTAGACTGATA